TGTCATTTTTTATAAAGATCCCTGGAGAATTCTTGTGTCATCTTAGTACCCCAAACAGCTATACTGAGAAACTGGTCCTTTTAAATATATACATATGTTGGGGACACCGTTAAGGGACCAGTTTCCCCCTTTCCCATCGGCTCTCAGGAAGCCTAGAGCCCATGCTCTGCCTGGGACCTGGCAGGCCTGCGGGTGACATTGTGCTGCATTCTTGGTATCTACCATTGATTTTTCTTTTCTTTGCCCCACTTTTCACTCTTGCTCTCTCGCTGTTTTGTAAATCCCTATAAGCCACCTTAAAGCCTTTGTGGAACAAGGTTGGCTTGAATCAATAAACTAATCGATACAAATAAAAAACCTTCCTTGCAGGGTTGTGGTGAGGATTAAACAGAATAATGGATGTGAGTTGCCGGCCCAGAGTTCCCTCCCAGGCTTGGTGAAGGGAGAACTGCCAGCTGGGGCCGAGACAACTGTCCTGTTGGAGGTCCCCACCTCCTGTGCGCCCTCTGTCTTCCTGACTCTGTGGAAGTTTCCAGGCTGCTGCCCCTCCCTGCCCTTGTCCTGCCCTCGCCGTCCATGCTTTGTTCTCCTCGGATCCCCGTGGGGAGGAGAAGGCAAATGGCTGTGTCTGTCCTCTCTCAGAAAGTGTGCTGTCAGCAATGGGCTCCCTGTCCGTCACCAGCCCCTGGGATCTCAGATGCCCTAGGAACCAAGCTTGCTGTGTGTTGGGAGTAATGTGGCTTGCGGTGTCTTGCTCTGTCTTGGAGTAGTCAGCATGTGGTGGGACTGTATTGGGCGGGAAGACAGTAGGAGATCATCTAGTTCAGACTGTGCATTTGACAAATGAGGAAATTGAGGCCCTAAGTGTGAAGCGATGGGGCCGCATCGTGAACCTATTTCAACTCATTCTCGTCAAGTCTAAGCATGACTGTGCCTTCCTCAGTGGCTCTCAGGGGCCCTCATGCCCTCAGAGGCAGACCACGCACTCTAGCATGGCTTTCAAGCCTCTCTCTGAGACCATTTTCCCAAAGCAGCTCTGTTTTAGTCAGTCATTGACTGTTGAGTAGCCAATTACCTTGAAATGCAGTGGCCGAAAAGGACAGCAAACATTTATTGTCTCACAGTTCCTTAGGTGGCAGGGTGGTTCTGGTGTGGGGTCTTGAACAAGATTACAGTCAAGACATTGACTGGGGCTGTGTCTTAGGCTGTTTGGGTTACAATAGCAGAAATACCATAAGTTGGGTAGTTTATAAACAAAAACTACTTGTTTCTCACAGTTCTGGAGGTTGGGAAATCCAGGATCATGGTGCCGGCAGACTGGTATTTGGTGAGGTCCCACATCCTGGCTCATGGCTGTGTCCTCCCACGGTGGCGGGGATGAAGGAACTCTCACAGACCTTTTCTGTGAGGCCATTCATCCCATCCAGGAGGGCCCCACTGTCCTAAGCTAAGAGCTCCCCAAGGCCCTCACTTCCTAACATTGTCACACCAGCCATCAGGATCTCAGTATCTGAATTTTGGGGGCACATCCGCATGCAGACCATAGCTGGCTGCAGAGTCTGAAAGCTTGGCTGGGGCTGGAGAATGTGTTTTCTTTATCTATTCATAGACACACACACACACACACACACACACACACACAGAGAGAGAGAGAGAGAGAGAGAGAGAGAGAAGCAGAGACACAGGCAGAGGGAGAAGCAGGCTCCATGCAGGGAGCCTGACATGGGACTCGATCCCCGGTCTCCAGGATCACACCCCGGGCTGCAGGCGGCGCTAAACTGCTGCTCCGCCGGAGCTGCCCGAGAATGTGTTTTCTTGATGACTGACATTGCTGGAAGCCGGTGCTGGCCGTTGGCAGGAAGCCACAGTTTCTCTCCATGTGGGTCCCTTCAGAGAGCTGTCAGAGTGTCCTTGACATGGTGGCTGGCTTCTCCCAGTGATGGTGCTAAGAGAGAACTGAGGTCACTGTGAGCCCCTGTGTGCCGGCAGTCTCTGGTTTACTTGTGGGGCCTGCACAGCCCTGGCTCCAAATTCAGTAGTTGGCCTGTCAGACCACCCTGCTCAATGCCTGAGTCGACTTGAGAAGAGGGAGGGATCAAGATCACAGACCAAGGGGACAATAGGGCCATACAGGGTGTACCGTCACAGTAGCAATTGCCCACGTGACAGAAACTGGGCAGGTGACATAGCCACCAAGGTGCTCTCTCCAGGCAAGGAGGAGGTGATGACAGGATTAGGCAGATAGGTAAAGGGTGAAGTGGTCTCCTGTCCTCTTAAGATGGAGGGGCTGGTGGGAATTGTGGAGAAAGGGGAAAGCAGCTTGGCAGGTGGCATGGAGCAGGTGGGGGTGCTGGTGGTGGCTCAGCAGGTAGTGTGGAGCAGGTGGGGGTGCTGGGGGTGGCTCAGCAGGTAGTGTGGAGCAGGTGGGGGTGCTGGGGGTGGCTCAGCAGGTAGCGTAGAGTAGGTAGGGGTGCTGGGGGTGGCTCGGCAGGTAGCAGGGAGTGGGTGGGGGTGTTGGGGGCAGTTCTGGGAACAGCCTGTCAGTGGGATGTAGAGAATGTCTCCGGGAATAGGGACAGACCAAAATGGGTGCCTGAGATACACACAGATAACTGAGATCAAAGACCCCAGGGAAGAGTGTGATGACTGGCATGTGGGGTGGGGGAAGGAGAGGAAGGTGGACTCAAGTGTCTCCCAAAACCCACTCCACCTGTCGGGAGGTGGAAGGGGCAAAGCAATGGTTGCATTAAGGGACAGAAGCAGCTGGTTGTAATGAAACAGGGCACAAGCTGTCATGGAAAATAGTAGAGGTTTGGAGGAGAGAATGTCTAGGTCACAGACTTGAGATGCCTTCCTTCAAGGAGAGAGAGAGAAAAAGCATGGAACAGGGTGTTGATGATGATGTAGGCGTCAGACCACAGGTGCCTGGAGCCAGTTAGGGACCTGGGGGCCAGGAGAGGCTGGGGTTTGGGGGAAGGAGCTCATGCTCTATGCAGAGGGACAGGGTGGAGGGGAACTGGAGGACAGTCTTTGCCAGGCTTGTATCTGCACTTTGTACAGGAGGATGCTGTGGCTCAGGCGGGAAAGGGGCTGACCCACAGATGCACAGCCAGGAGGCGGGGGAGCCAGGATCAGGACAGCATTTCAGAGCCTGGGGCCTGTGCACGCTGCTACACTGCTTCTGTTTCTCTGTCTCAGCAGGAAAACCTGGATAGAGGGGTAGTGGCCCTCATAGCCCAGGGACTGTGTGCTGGGAAGCCCTGTGGGCCATGCTAGTGGGGCTGCCAATGAACCCTGAGGCCTATGGAGTGAATGGCTGAATGGGAGGACATGGTCAATGCCCTGTGGGCCTAGCCCAGAGGGGCTGGGGGTCTGTGGGACTGCCCAGCATGGGATCCTACGTCAGGATAGTCAGCCCCTGGCTGTCCAGCTTAAGGACGCTGAGGGCACATCTGATGTAGGGCTCTCTTGTAAACTGCCTGGGTCCCCATCCTGGTTTAACCTTGGGCAGATTGCTTCACTTCTTGGAGCTCAGTTCCCTTCTCTGCAGAACAAGGGAGGACATCCATTCCCCCACTTCTAGTTCCTGGTCCTAGGGCAGCTGTTCTGAGGGGTGGCTCTGGGACTTTGACTGCCTGGGCTCAGATTCTGGAGCTACCACTCACCAGCTTTCCCTTGAATTTCTCTGAGCCTCCCTTTGATCCCTTGGAAAAGAGGGATGCTAATAGTATTAGCCCCATGGTTAGTGCAAGGGTCCAGTGAGTTCATGTATGTGACATGCTAGGCAGTGCTGGCCTGGGGGATATGCTTGGAACACAGTGGCAGTTGATGCCACCACTGTGGCAAGGAAAAGCTGCCCCAGGGGACCCCTGGATAGCTGAGTGGTTGAGCATCTGCCTTTGGCTCAAGTTGTGATCCTAGGGTCCTGGGATCGAGTCTTGCATTGAGGGGAGCCTGCTTCTCCCTCTGCCTGTGTCTCTGCCTCTCTCTGTGTGTCTCTCATGAGTAAATAAATAAAATATTTTAAAAATGACTTCAAGTCTCTGGAAATTGTCCTCAGGCCAACACTTAATGAAGAAAAAAAAATAGATTTATTCCATAAAACCTACTAAATCTCAGTAGGGGAGGATCCCTGGGTGGCTCAGCGGTTTAACACCTGCCTTCGGCCCAGGGTGTGATCCTGCGGTCCCAGGATCGAGTCCCACATCGGGCTCCCTGCATGGAGCCTGCTTCTCCCTCTGCCTATGTCTCTGCCTCTCTCTCTCTCTCTCTCTGTGTGTGTGTGTCTCTCATGAATAAATAAATCTTTAAAAAAAAAAAGTAACAAACCTGCCCCAGAAAGGGGGCATTTATAAAAATCTGTAGTAAGGATGTGGAGAGAGGAAGGGAGAGGCTGGTGTGCAGGTGCCAGAGTCTCTATCTGCCAGCAGAGCCAGAGGATGTGTCCAGAAGTTGGTCTGGGGCTTGTGGAGGCCAGGAATTCGCAGTGTCCCTGTAACTCCTCCTCCCTCACATCAGGACATTACCAATGACGAGACAGGGAGGTCCTTGGTGAGAGTGAATCATGGGTGTACTCGCCATGGGTCCCAGAGTGGCTGTGGGCTCATCAAGAAGCGCCTCCTTTGCTTGTTCCTTTGCAGCCCCGGATGATGCCTCGGGGGCTGAGCTGACCTCTGTAGGTCTATGGGCAGGGTGGTGGTCTCGCAGGGTTGTTCACGGCTGCCCCAGGCTTGTCCCTCCAGCTGCAACCTCCTATGCGCAGAGAGGCCAGATGTTTAGGGACAGATCTCCTTCCAGGGCAGGGTACCTCCCTCCAGCCCCACCATTCATTCCTTCATTTATTCATTCAACAGATGCTTACCAGGCAGGCCTGTGTGTGCCAGGCACTACCCAAGGAGCTAGAGCATTGTCTGGCCATCCTGCCCTCCCTGACTCATCAGGGCACTCCAGAGAAATCTCTTCTGATCAGTGTTTTTCTCCCTCTGGCTTTATCCTCTCAGGGACCTGAGTGAGAACACAATCCAGGCCATCCCCAGAAAAGCTTTTCGTGGAGCTACAGACCTCAAAAATTTGTAAGTACAGGTCTGGGGGGAAGGAAGAGGTTAGAAGGGTGCAGGGGGTGGAGGGCCACCCTTGCAGTGTCCTTGTGCATCTCCCGAGCCCTGTGGTCCAGGGAGCCAAACAGCTGGTATGGGCTCTGAGATGGCTGGTGCCAGCATGGTCTTCTAGAACAGTCTGGGATCAAAGGAGACAGCCTCTTGGGACTGGGCAGAAGGGAGTGTCATGAACTGGCTGCTTATGGTCCCAGGTACCTAGGTCCCAGGACCCAGGCTCATGGTCCATTTAATGGCACAGTGTCCATGCTCTTGCCCTTGAGTAGATTGGGAGAGCTGGGTTTGAATCTTCTTCTGCAGGTACATACTGTAGAAGTGGCTGCAAATTGCTTAACTTCACCGAGTTTCAAGATATTGTTCTGTAAAATGGGACCATCATATTTATCTCATAGGCTTGTTCTGAAGTTTGCATGAGACATGGAAATGAATACACTTTATCAAGTGTTATTTAAATGTAATGGTTTATCCCTACTATTCAAATTTATTCTGGTCTGGGCTTATCACCTCCCTGAGTTCTGACTGTGGCAGGGACGGCAAATGAATGCCCGGCATGCTTGTCACTCCCTGACCCCATGTCTGTAGTAGACAATTGAGCACTGCCTTCCTTCCCAAGGGACCCAAATCGTAGCTTCAGTTTATTGCCAAAGCAGCATTCCAGGTGGCCACAGCTAGTCAGTCTTGCTTGGCGCTCAGGGTGAAATCTGTGTGCCAGCTCTGGCAGCTGTGCCTCGGAGAGGCTGTCTCCTTTTCCAGCTGCCACCACCCTCCTGGTGGTCTCCAAAGTGGGGCCGAGGGCACAGGTGCCTGCTCCCCCAAAGGATATGCCAAGTTAGATGGAGAACTATAATATAACTTTTATTTATATTTATTGTTTTAACTAAATAAGAAGGAACATAAGCTTTTATTAGCATTTACTATTTGGATTAACACATATATACTGAACAAATGATTGGGGCCAGGCCTCTTTGCTTTAAACTAATGGAGTGCTTGATCACAGCGTTTGGACACCCCTGCTCTAGGCAACATGCCTTCCTGTACAGCTTTCTTTTGTTTCACAGACAGCTGGACAAGAACCAGATTAGCTGCATCGAGGAAGGAGCCTTCCGGGCTCTGCGGGGGCTGGAGGTGCTGTAAGTAGAACATGGGGAGAGGCAGCAGAAGCTGGAGAGCCGAGTAACTTGGGAGCTAGGCCCAGGAAGCTGGAATGGGGCTGGGAGCAGCACGGGAGGCGGGAGACTTGGGAGGTGATGGTTGGCCCAGGGCAGAGGCCATGCTCTCTGCTTTCCTGGACTTGCCACTCAGGATGGGGGGACACAGGCTCATGGGGTTGTACCCACAGCACATGACCCAGGCTTACCCTGCTCACGATGAAGCCCAGGCCAGGGTCTGAGTCTTCCAGGACTTTCTGACCCATGAGGCAGGAATGCCTCCCTGTCTCCCTCTGTGAAAGCCCACACTTAACTCCCAAACCAGCTCAAGCCCGCAGGCAGCCTTTCCCTCTTCTTGCTCTACTGCCCTATCCCGACTTGGATCTGTGGCAGCTGCGTGATAACCACTGTCCCAGCCCAGGGGTTTCTCTGGGGGTGGCTCTGTGCCTCAGGCTCTTCGGCGGGTGTACTCTCCAGAATCCAGCCCAGTCCTGGCTCCCTTGGAAGGTGGATCAGGGTGCGAGAGTCTGAGTGCTTCTCAGAGAGAAGCCCCGTCCCTCCTTCCAATGTCAGTTCCTACTGCACAGACGCTGAATGACTCTGGTTTCCCCCGAGCAGGACCCTGAACAACAACAACATCACCACCATCCCTGTGTCCAGCTTCAATCACATGCCCAAGCTGCGGACCTTGTGAGTCAGCCCAGGGGCAACCAGGAGCACAGTGGCCAAGTGTGGGGCGGTGCCAGGGGTGGTGGGAGGAGCTGAAGACTTCCATAGGCTGGAGAAAGAGCTCCTTCTTTGCATTCTCAGTGCTCATCCCGTGGGTGGGGGGCAGGGGGAGGGGTCAGGACTCCAAGGGGGAGAGAAGTGACCTAAAATGGAAGCATGCTGAGTGTCATTTGTATTTGATTTTTCCTTGGAAAACAATTTGTTTTTTTTTTTGTGTGTGTGTATAAAAATGTGATTTCGGGCAGTGGGTCTGTGTGAGCTCAGTGGGATGAATCATTTGCTGGTCATGCTGCAGCCAAGCAGCTGCCCCGAATGAGCTGGGAGGGAAGTGTCCTGCTGCTGCAGGTGATTCCCGAGTTGGCCTGAGCTCTGACTGTTGGGGTGGAATGTAGCACTGGAGGCTTGACCCACTCCCTGGTAGGGGGTTCCCACTGTTGGGCTGGGCCTGGGGGCCCAGGTAGGTGGGTTGTGAGCTGTTCTATCCCCCCGCCCCCCACAGCCGCCTGCACTCCAACCACCTGTTCTGCGACTGCCACCTGGCCTGGCTCTCACAGTGGCTGAGGCAGCGGCCAACCATCGGGCTCTTCACCCAGTGCTCAGGCCCCGCCAGCCTGCGTGGCCTCAACGTGGCTGAGGTCCAGAAGAGTGAGTTCAGCTGCTCAGGTGGGTGCAGGTCCTACTGGGGCTCTCGACTGCCTATCACCTGCCTTCTGCCACACCCCACCCCCAGCCCCACTCCCCACATCTGGTTCCCTCCCATTACCTCCTGTGACCATGTGCTAACATCTGGCCAACCCATGACCTCCTCTCTTCGCCCATCACTTTCTGCTCATCACCTACCATCCTTATCCACCACCCTCTGGACCACCCACATCTCCAGTTCTCATCCATCACCTCCTGCCTTACTCATCACCTCCTGTCCCTTCCCATCTCCTTCACCCACTCCATCCATTATTTCCTGTTCTCACCCATCGCAAAAAAAAAAAAAAAAAAAAAAGTTCAAGAATATTCAAGACAGCTTTTTTCCATAAGAGCCCAGATTGGAGACAACCCAAATGTCCACCAGCAAGAGGATGGATAAACTAATTACGATATACCCGTATAATAGAATACTGCTCAGCAGTGACAAAGAACAGACTACTGATACGCACAACAACATGGGTGAAGCTCAAGATTTTGTATTGAGTAAAAGAAGCCAGATGTAAGAGGACCTGCTGTCTGATTTCATTTATGTGAAATCCACAAATAAGCAGAACAGATCTTTGGTGACAGGTCTCAGAATAGTGTTTGCCTTGGAGAATGGGCACAACGGAGGCTTCTTGACTGATAGAAAGATTCTCTGTCTGGGGAAGGTTCTGTGGTGTACCCATAGTAGCAAGTCAGCCAGCTATACGCTTAAGATGGTGCACTTGATATGTTCTATTTCAATCTAAAAAATTTATATCAGCCATTAGGCTTAATCCGGGTTTTACCACCTATTAGCTGTGTGATTTTACACAAACTAATTAATATCAAGGACTCAGTGTTCTCACCTGTAAAATGGCCCCAAGAATATCACACCCATAATGGGCTGAGCAGCAGGATTAAATGAGATAACACATGTATCACATTTCCCACAGCATGTGGCACAGAGTGAGTGCTTGATAAACATAATCCTTGTCATTCTCTGGTGACCATTAGGAGACTCAGTCTCAAAAGTGTTGAATGACATTGACTAGACCTGGAGCTTCAGAATTTAGGCTAGGATTCCCTAGTGTGTGAATCAGGCTGTTCTGCAGCATGGCTAGGTTCAGATTCAGGTTCAGCAAACATCTAACGGGCACGTGCTATGTGCTAGGTACCCACAGAGTTACACGGTAGTCCCTGGTGATCTCCTCAGGTTCATCCACATTCAGAGAGACACTAGATGCCCTGTCCCTACCTGTGATGCTGTATCTGGGGTAGGAGGTGCTGACATGGGACACCCCAGGTCACAGCCCACTGTTTACTCAGGCCAAGGGGAGGCGGGGCGAGTGCCTTCCTGCACCCTTTCCTCTGGCTCCTGCCCGGCCATGTGCTCCTGCAGCAACGGCATTGTGGACTGTCGCGGCAAAGGCCTCACTGCCATCCCCGCCAACCTGCCTGAGACCATGACGGAGATGTGAGTACAGCTGGGTGCTGGGACACAGGCCCTTAGCCTGGGCCAGACTCTGGTGGTCCAGTGAGGAGCTGGGCAGGCTCTACTGAGGCACCCCCCCCCAGACCCTTCCGAGGCCCCTCAGTACAAATGGAGGAGAGACAGCTGGTCTCGACTAGTTGGAGCCCTCTACCCAAAGCTGGGTAGCTCTAGAGAGTTGGGGAGGGGGTGTCTCGTGATCTGTTTTACCAGCCCAGCTGGTTGAATCTGTTGAAATCGGTTTCTTAGTATCAGCTTGATTTGTGGGCCTCTTTCAGCCACAAAAACCTGGGGTAATGGGCTCAAATACAGCAGCTCCTTTCCTCTGCCTGTGCCAGCCTGTGTGCTCCAGATGGAGGATGGGAGCAGGGGCAAAGGGCCTGGTCTGGGCACGTGAGCCCAGTATGCAATGGGCAGGACTGGGGTAATTGGACCCCGGGCTTCCTCTGTGTTCTCTCTCTGCAGCCGCCTGGAGCTCAATGGGATTAAGTCCATCCCCCCAGGAGCCTTCTCTCCCTACAGAAAGCTGCGGAGGATGTGAGTGTCTCCCGTGCTTTCTGGGAGTCAGCATGGGGCAGGGGGAAGGGCCTGGAATGGGCATGCCACAGCCATGAGGCAGGTCTTGACTCTGCCTGCCAGGTTAATGGTGGCAGTGTGACCTCCTCATGGTGTTATCGTGAGGCCTCAATGGGTGTTGAGCCCAAGTCTGGCACATGACCAGAGCTGACTGTCATCTTCCCATTTCAGCCAGGGCACTCCTAGGAGCAATTGTGGATGTGAGGTGGGGTGTAGGGAACCTCTGGGATGTGGGGTGGAGCATCCTCAAGAACGGACCAAGGCTGGACTGCCCAGCCCGAGCATGGCCCTCAGAAATGGTGGCCGGGGGCTTTTCAGGTGGATGGGGGAAATGGCCCCTCATTTTTCTAATGTCAGAGAAATGCTTGCCCTTCCAAGGCATCTGGGAGGAGGGTCTAAGCATGGCTCCGTGGCGGCTGGGGGATTCAGCAGTCTTCCCTCCTGCTCACCTTGTAGAGACCTGAGCAACAACCAGATTGCAGAAATCGCGCCCGATGCCTTCCAGGGCCTCCGCTCCCTGAACTCGCTGTGAGTAGCAGTGCTGAGTCTGCCAGGGTCCAGGGAGCCCCCCGCCCCTGTGCCAAGGCCCCTCAGCAGGGGGATGCTGTGCCCAGCTCCCCCTTCCTTGCTGGTGGATGCTCTGCAACTGGGAATGGGTGGAGGGAATTCAGGGCTGAGTGCCTGGAAAAGTCAGGCAGAGCTGTTGCCCTTGGCCAACTCTGATGCTCTTTCTGCCACCAAGGGTGTTTTCTCAACATTCTTTGCGGCTGTCCCCTGACTTGGCCCCGCCTCCATGCTGGCCCCGCCTCCCCACTGGAGCCCAGCATTCTATGCTCCTGAACCTTCCCCAGCTCAGTCATAAGCACAGCCACTCCCAGCTCCAGTCGTGACATCTGCTACACCTTGTGCCTTTCACCCAGGTGTGCTCCCAAGTTGTGGTGAAGAAAGTGTTTTCCTCTACCTCTCCCCATTTCCCTTCCCTGGAGAGTTTATTGGCGGGGGTGGGGTGGGGTGTGTGCATCAATCTACAAAATGCCATGCAGCATCAAAAGTTCATCTTGGAAATGTTACCTCATCTCTCTTTTTCCCAGAGCCCTTGCTTGCAACCCTCGCCAAGGGCTCTGTGAGGTCCCAAGCATTTTGTCTATACTGAGTACACTCAGGGCACCCTGTGGTTGGGCAAGCCCCTCTTGGCAGGGGCCATTTGTTACTCTGAGGAGTGAGTGTTTTGCTTATCCTTGGCAGTACTGGACACATGCCTTGCATAGACTAGGGGCCTGGGAAGTGAAATAGGATGGAACTCCGTTGGGAAGTTCCAGCGGAGGAGGATGTAGGATGCAGGAGTAACCTCCTCCAATGTAGGAGGCTGCCAGTTCAGTGTCTCTGTGTGCACACTCTTCTCTTGGAGTGGAGTCTGATGTACTGAGAGGGGCCAATCCTGAATGGCATCCCTTAGGTTGTGCAGTGTATAACCTACACAGCTGTACCTGGCAGCCTGGTAGGGAGTCTCTACCATCAGATTCTAGAGGTGGCCTGGCAAAATGCAGGGCTCTTCATCTAAGAAGTGAATGAAACTCTTTCTAAATTGGAACATGACAATAACCCATTCACGTGGGTTCCTGTTACTCATGGATACGTGTCCAAGCCGTCTCCCACCATATTCCCATTTGTTTTTGTTTTGTTTTTAGATTTTTATTTATTTATTCATGGGAGACACAGAGAGAGAGAGGGGAGAGAGAGAGAGAGAGAGAATGAGGCAGAGACACAGGCAGAGGGAGCAGCAGGCTCCATGCGGGGAGTCTGATGTGAGACTGGATCCCAGGTCTCCAGGATCAGGCCCTGGGCTGAAGGTGATGCTAAACCGCCGCGCCACCTGGGCTGCCCCCATATTCCCATTTGTGCTGATGTCATGCTAATAGCCTTCATGGACAGTGTCCACCTTGGCAGACTCTGACCTAGTCTCCCTGCTTCAGCCCCTGCCCCCTCCACTCTGCTCTCCTCACCTCATTTGCAGATTTCCAAATGCAAATCTGATCCTGTCTCAGAGGCTTCCTTGTGCTCTCTGGGTAAAATCCAAGCTATTATTTCCTTTTGTCTCCTCTATTTAAGCCACACTGAGTTCACCACGGGCCAACCTGGATCCACTGCAAGGCCTTTGCTCCTGCTGTGCCCTCCTCCAGAAAGGATCTTGATTGTTTTTACACAGGCTGAATGGTTTCCAAGGTGGCTTTGGGGGGCTGCTTGCAATATTGTCCCCAAGCCCCATTGTTACGTCCCCTCTCCAGATCCCATTCCTGCCTGCATGGCTTTTTGGAACCTTTGCTTTTTTCCTGATCATACATGGAATTCTTGGTCAACGCAGAGAACTAAGGTGAAGAAACCCATTGGCCTAGGCCTACCGCCTGGGCCTCCACACAGCTAAACTTTGATCTGTTTCTTTCTGGTGTTATCTGTTGCTTGAGGTCAGAGCTCATTCCATGCGTGCCGTCTGTTATTCGTGGTTTTTTTCCTGTAATTCTCTGAAAATATGTTAATTATCTGGCCCATGAGATTTCCTCCTCTTTGAACAGCTTCCTTTTACATCCAGGGCCAGGTTAATTTCCCATGAGGTTCCCCAAAGGGCTCCTCTGCTTCTGTGGGTTCCGTGCATGAGGCAGAGTGGGTATTGGGGGGCTGCTCCTTCAGTAGTGGGGTTCACGGCTGCCTCTCGCCCATAGAGTACCTCAACACACTTTACTGCCACCTGCTGGCCACGTGTTGCAACAAACCTACACCACTGTGCTGTGCCCTGTGAATGGTTTAGGGGTGGTGCCACTGTGTGGCTGCTACTTACAAAGTAATGTCCCACCCGCTTGGCTGTCTTCTTACTCTCTCTTTCTGCTGCCTTTTGTCTCCAGGGTCCTGTATGGGAACAAGATCACAGACCTCCCCCGGGGTGTGTTTGGAGGCTTGTACACCCTACAGCTCCTGTAAGGACCCATCTGCAGGTGTCCTTGGGTGGCGTCCAGGGAGGGGGCTTATATTCCTCTGGCCTCTCAGACAAGCCTTGCTAGCCTCCTTCGGGTACAGGATGCAAGGACCTAGGATGATGGCAGAGCTGGGGATGCCATGAGGGACTCTGGGGCTCTGTTGAGGCCAGGGAGGGAGGGGGGCCAGATTCAGAGCTGATCACAGGATGCCTGAGCTGAGAGGCCTGTGCTCCCAAGGAGGTCAGCATGGCAAGGGACAGAGTTGTTTCCTACAGGGGGACACCCAGACCCAGCTCAGCCTCCTTGAAGCATGAGCTTTCAGATAGAGGTTCTCTCCCAGGATCCAAGAGCTCCGTCTTAGATGCCTGAAAACCCAGCAGTCTCTGGAAAGGAGAAGAGATTCCAGAATGCCTTTGGGAGGTGGCCTGACCACTGTGCTCTCTGCTTCCCAAGAGCCCTGTGAGCCCCTGTAGCAGTTCCTTGAAAGGGAAAGGTGCAGGTGGAGCAAGACGGTCCCCTGCACAGAGAGGGCAGTCGGAGTTCTTGCTTCCTGTATGGAGTGGACATCCAAAGGGCTGGACTCCCTTCCCCTGCTTCTATGCGCTTCTCCCCAAGACAATACCTGCTTGGTGCCAGGGAGGTGCCCAGGGCGTGTTGATGTGGCCGATTCTGTGCCTCTCCCTTCACCACCTGGCTCTGGTCTGCCCACAGGCTCTTGAATGCCAACAAGATCAACTGTGTCCGGCCCGATGCCTTCCAGGATCTGCAGAACCTCTCACTTCTCTCCCTGTATGACAACAAGATCCAGAGCCTTGCCAAGGGCACCTTCACCTCCCTGAGGGCTATCCAAACCCTGTGAGTGCCCTCTTGCCCTCCTGTCCTCAGTCCCAGCAGGAGGACCTAGGGAGAAGTGACAGCCCTCGGGACAGGCAGCTGTTTTGTCCTGTGCCTTTGGCTCACCAGGAGTGGCCTCATATAGAGGAAAGAGCACAGACTTTGGGTTGGAAAGTCCTGGGTTCAAATCCCAACTATACCTCTTATTGGCTGTGTGATCCTGGTCAAGTTAATTAGCTTCTCTGGGCCTCAGTTCACTCATTTGTAAAATGAGGATATGGTTTTCTTCATAGGGTTGTTATGAGATAAAAGGGGATGTTTGTACAGAGCTAAGTTCATTGTAAATGCTTCTTGCATGCTTAATGCGCATTTACATTTATTTGGGGGGCATTTATTATTAATTTTTCATGGCCATTGTTTATCTGCTGGACAGTGCTCTCCTTCAGATAATATCTGCATGGTGGGGGGCCGCATAGGTGTGAAACAGGTTAAACAAAAGGCAAAAAGGCACAACTGCTCAACAAGGACAGTAGCCACGGAGACAAACTGGTTAAAGCCCATGAGCCCACCTACAGCCCTCTCCTGCTAATTAATTTACTTACAGCCAGGGAGAGGAAGCTGGAGCGCTACTGGGAAATCTTGCCAAGTATGTGAAATCAGAAGTTATAGGGAGACATGGGCAAGGTGGATTATTTTACACAGCCAGCGGGAAGTCCAAGAGAAAGGCATGAAGGAGATTCCCAGGTCCCACACACAGGAAAGCCTTGGGGATAGGGGTCAGGACTGAGGGTCTCATATGAGGAGCTTGTCTCCCTCCCAGGGCGAAGGAGAGTGAACACATCCAGTGGATTGCCCTTCCTGGCGGTGGCTCCTGTCTTTGTGTCCGTTTACCTGGCTGGATTTCAGAGAGTGCTTCTGCCCACTAGACAGAGACCTAAGGTCTTGGTCACTGCTGGCAGGGCACAAGTGGAGGACAAACTTGGAGCAGAATGTCCAAACAGGAAGTCTTCCCACAGGCAAGGCAGGAATGGTGGGACACTGAGAACCAAGCAGCCACTGCTGTTCATCGAGCCCTGACCCAGTGCCAGGCCCTGGCTCGTTCCGTGTGTTATCTTACTGAACACTTTAAGTGGCCGGGGGTAGTACAGTCTGTCATCCCAACTGCACTGATGAGGACACTGAGGCGGGAGGTCATGGGACTCACTCAAGGTCATACAACATCTAGTAGAGCAGGGATTTGGTCTCAGGCATCTCTTCACTGTCACCAAGAAGTTAGTTAGCTTTCTGCTCAGTTGTGCTTTTTCCGTAAGAATAGACCTCATTACTTAAGGCAGGAAAGCAGAACTGGACTTTCATAAACAATTATATATTAACAACCAGGGTACAGCTTGGAACAAGAGTAAAAGAAGCACAGATCCAGGAATAATCAGGTATTCTCAGTATAGGTTTGGATAGTTAAACCACTTGACGGAGTCGTGGATCAGGCCTGAGCAGATTGAAACTCACCGCATCCTGCTTGATTTGTCCATAGTTCCAAGATCTGCAGCCAAGTGCCTGGGCTAGGATACTGATTTTGCGGCAATTTTTCTCGCTCCAAGAGATTTTTAAAAGTTCTCTCTCTCTCTCTCTCTCTCTCTCTCTCTCTCTTTTTAAGATTTTATTTATTTATTCATGAGAGACACAGAAAGAGAGAGAGGCAGAGACACAGGCAGGGGGAGAAGCAGGCCCCATGCAGGGAGCCTGACGTGGGACTCGATCCTGGAACTCCAGGATCATGAGCTGAGCTGAAGGCAGACACTTAAGCGCTGAACCATCCAGGTGCCCTTAAAAGTTTTTTAAAAGCAGCTTTAACAGTGGCTCAAGGGTGGCTCAGCTATTTAAGCATGTGCCTTTGGCTTACGTCATAATCCTGGAGTCCTGGGATCAAGCCCCATGTCAGGCTCCCTGCTCAGAAGAAAGCCTGCTTCTCCCTCTGATGCTCTCCCTGCTTGTGCTCTCCCTCTGTCAAGTAAATAAATAAAATCTTAAAATAAACCCAGCTTTAATGAGGTATAACTTACATACTATAAAATCTACCTCTTCTAGGTGTATGACTCAATGATTTTCAGTATATTACAGTTGTTCAACTATCACCACAATCAAGTTTTAGAACTTTTCCATCACCTTCCCCAAATCCCTTGTGTCCATTTTACAGTCAGTCCCTATTTCTGGCTGACCCTCAGGTAACCATTAATCTAATTTCTGTCTTTATAGTTTGCTTTTACTGAACATTTCATAAAAATGGAATCATCATGGGGTGCCTTGTGGTTCAGTCGGTTAGGTGTCTGACTCTTGGTTTTAGCTCAAGTCGTGATCTCTGGGTTGTGAGGTGGAGCCCTGCATCAGGCTCTGCACTGGGTGTGGAGGCTGCTTGAGACTCTATCCTTCTGCCCTCCCCCTCCCCAACCTCACCCTTGCTCACTTGTGTGCCTCTATTATTTTTTTTTAAGATTTTATTTATTTATTCATGAGAGACACACAGAGAGAGGCAGAGACATAGGCAGTGGGAGAAGCAGGCTCCCTGCGGGGGGAGCCTGATGCGGGACTTGATCCCAGGACCCCAGGATCATGATCTGAGCCGAAGGCAGATGCTCAACCACTGAGCCACCCAGGTCCCCTGCACCCCCTCTTTAAAAAAAATGGAATAATCATGGTATATCATCTTTTGTGACTGACTTCTTTCATGTTTTTGAGGTCCATTCACATTATAGTATGTGACAGTACTTGGTTCCTTTTTATCACCAAGTAATTTCCCACTGAATGGATGGACCACATTGTGTTTATCCTTCCTGGTTGATGGACATTGGATTTCCACTTTGGGATCATTATGAATAACGCCACTGTGAATATTTGCTTATAAATCTTTATGTGGACAAATGTTTTCATTTCTCTCGGGCGTTCTGGTCACATAGGAAATTTATGTTAACTTTTTAAGAAATTGTCAGTTTTCCAAAATGATTGTAAATCCCATTTTATATTCCTACCAGCATTGTGTTAGCAAGGTTCCAGTTTCTCTACATCCTTGCCAGTACTTGTATCACTTGTCTTTTTGATTATAGCCACTCTAGGGGGTGTGAAGTGGCATCTCATTGTGGGTTTATCTTTTTTAAGAATTTATTTATTAGAGACCCAGAGAGAGACATAAGCTGAGAGACGACCAGGCTTCCCGTGGGACTTGATCCCAGAACCCTGGGATCACGACCTGAGCCAAAAGCAGACGCTCAACCACTGAGCCACCCAAGCGCCCCTCATTGTGGGTTTAACTTGACTAATATATTCTGTTTTTTTTTTTAATATTTATTTATTTATTTATTTATTTATTTATTTATTTATTTATTTATGATAGTCACACACAGAGAGAGAGAGGCAGAGACACAGGCAGAGGGAGAAGCAGGCTCCATGCACCGGGAGCCCGACGTGGGATTTGATCCCGGGTCTCCAGGATCGCGCCCCGGGCCAAAGGCAGGCGCCAAACCGCTGCGCCACCCAGGGATCCCGTTTAACTTGACTAATGATGCTGAGCATGCATATTCCAAGAAGGACAGTGAGAATATAGTCTTCCCTTCTGCCTTCTACTATCACAAATGTCCATGGAGGGAGTGGCATGGCCACACATGCAGCTCATTTCTGGGTGTGCCTTTCACATATTTTTCCCAAGCAGATATTTTTTCCCTTCTTCCTGAGCATTTCCCCTTCTCAGCTCTCTGCTCTTTGCAATTATTAAAAATTCCAATTTGTGTCAAATACTTAAGCCACTTGTCTCTGTGGTGGTTCAAGTTTTTTTGTTTTTTGTTTTTTGTTTTTATAAATTGACATTGACACAAATAACCTGTTCTTAAAAAGGATATATCCTATCCCATACCCATTGAACATTAAATACATGCCTGAATAATATACTTGAATTGATTTGGAGCAGAATTTTCTACCAAGATTGTGATAAAAGGAAGCAATTAGTTCAGGCAGAGGCCAGGCGGTGAGACATAGGCAGATGTGGCTGGGTGGCTGGGCGGATCCCAGAGCAAGCCCCAAATCCTAATGTATTTTCAACCATCAATGGACTCTGTCTGCCATGGAGTGTCAGCAAACACATCTTCTCTGTGCAAATTGACAGTTTAAAAAGGGAGACAAATGTCCAACCAGATGCAGAAGGGGTGGGAGGGGCCTGGCCCACTGGATGATGCTGGCAGGAGCCAGGACTGAGACAGGAAAGTGAGTGTGCTGCCCAGGGAGGCAGGGACATCTGGGCAGAGAAATCTCCAACTAAGTATCCCAAACAGGATCCAGAGCCTAGGAGGTGACAAATAGGAGAGAGGGTGGCTAAGGTCAGAGCTGAGCTGGATGCAGACCCTGGCAGGGCTCATGCCTCTGCTTGCACAGCCCTGGAGCCCCGTCAGGGCACTGGGCTGAGGCCAATAAGTAGATGGCCGGAACTGATGGCATTAGATGAAGTGGCCATCGGTGGCGCATCCTCTGAGCTAGCCCCTGCTCTGTCTTCCTGTACTTCCACGCAGAAGCATTGACTTTCAAGTACAGTGCTAGAGAATTCTTCCCCGGCTGTCTCAGTTTGGAAAGCAGGGCATGTCCGATGCTGTGATGACCAAGACACAGGCTGGCAAGCTGGCTGCTGGAGTGGTTCGGATGCGGCTGGCCTGAGCCTGTTGGGGGGGGGAGGGCCCACGAAGGGCAAAGCCACCTGGGTGGTTGCTTATAGAGGTTCCTACAGTCAGCATTACCTGTCAGCTGTCCCCTCCCCACATTTATCCTGCTGGTCACAAGGGCCGCCTGGCAAGAGGATATGAATGGTCTCCCAATAAGTAGCTTTCAGCCATGTTTTCTGAATTCCCCTTGTGTCAAAAGACAGAGTAAAATGGGCAGGGGGAGGCAGCCCTCACGGCCTGGGGTGGGAATGGAGATTCCCGTAAGTGAGGGGCTGCAGCAGGTACGTTGAGACACGCTCAGCCCGGCTGCAGGAGCAGCCTTGCCGCCTCTGGCCCAGACACCTTCCTGACAAAGGCTATGGAGAGAAGCTGCTGTTGCCCGAGGCCACAGGGAGAGGCCAGCCCTCAAAGGCCTCTGGGCCCTGACAGGCCTGGGTCCTAGTATCTATTCTGTCCCCTCACCCATGGAAGGCTGGGGTGGTCTGGCTGGTCTCCAGCTCACTCTTGCCTCCACTCGTGTTTGTGAAATGTCCCAGGGTGCAGAGTGAAGGGTATGGGTACAGGTGAGTAGATGGACAGGGGACAGAGTGAGGCTTGAAGGAGAGAGTGGAGCAGGGCCAGCTGGAAGCTCCAGAGCCTGCAGAGAGCCTTCCCTGCTGAGATGTTCTGGCAAGACTTCTCCGTCGGTAGGTGTACCCAGGCGGCAGACCAGCCACCAGCGAGCAGCGAGACCTCATCCAGGCAGAGGTCAGCACAGGTTTGCAACCCTGTCTCTGATCCCCACTCTGCTCCCCGCCCCCGGACAGGCATCTGGCCCAGAACCCTTTCATCTGTGACTGTAACCTCAAGTGGCTGGCGGACTTCCTGCGCACCAACCCCATCGAGACGAGCGGGGCCCGCTGCGCCAGCCCTCGACGCCTTGCCAACAAGCGCATCGGGCAGATCAAGAGCAAGAAGTTCCGGTGCTCAGGTAGCTGCACACTTGGCCACCTGTCTGTCTGTCCACCTGCCTGCCTGTCTTCAGTCAGCCCAGGGACCAATGATGTTTCTGGATGGCTCCAACAGCGTGTCCTAAACCACTCTAGACCCTCACCAGAGGGTGTAGTTCCCACATTGTAGACTTGGATCTGAATGGTTGGCCAGCCCCAACCCTCATTGTACTGAGGCTTAGGGAAGAGTAGGGCCAGCTCATGGTCCTTGCAGGAGGCCTGCCCAGACAAGGACCCAGGTCCCTCTACTGCCAGATCAGTGTGCTTTCATGCCACTGCTTTTCAGACTCGAGAAGCCTGGGAACTCTCCCCAGTGAGAAAGCTGCCTCCTCTAGGCTCCCAGGCAGCAGAAACTGGCTGGGAACAGTGTGAGTCAGCTTCTGAGCCTGGATCCGGGTCAGGGACCTGATGCCTCTCTGCTCCATCTCCATCTTGGGCCATTACACATGTTTTTGGTGCTCCCTGAGAGGTTCAATTGGGAGTGCTCCTGCCCCCAGCATCAGCCTGGCCAAGGAACATCTCCATAGCAGGCCTTCTCCACCTGGGGGCTGGGCCGGTGGGCTCTGGGGCCCAAATTTGGGGCCCCAGTATTGTTCCTGGGAGGCCTTCATCTGCACAGTAGGGTTGGGGCCTGGGCTCTTCCTGCAAGTCCTAGAGGATTCTAGCTTCTTGGTGTTTCTGCTTCTCTCCCCAGCCAAAGAGCAGTACTTCATTCCAGGTAGGAGAGCAGGGGGTGGACTGAGGGCAGCCTGGGTTGGGCGGTGGCAGTGGGTGGGCAGGGGCAGCAGGCTGAGGGGGGCCGGGGAGGCCCTGCCCTGGGCCCCTCAGCCTCCCGCCCCGCCCTGTCAATGCAGGCACAGAGGACTACCAGCTGAACAGCGAGTGCAACAGCGATGCGGTCTGTCCCCACAAGTGCCGCTGTGAGGCCAGCCTGGCCGAGTGCTCCAGCCTGAAGCTCACCAAGATCCCAGAGCGCATCCCCCAATCCACGGCTGAGCTGTGAGGGCCCCCAGCCCCTCCGTGTCCCTCACTCGCCCCCAGCCCTACCAGCCCTTCCAGATCCACTCTGGGTTTTCTTCTGGTCCAGCTCTGTTTGGGACCACTGGAGACCCCAACCTTCCTTTGAAATAGGATCAGTTTGCCTTGCCAGATAAATTCTTCTGGGATCCCCTTTGAGTCCCAAATATTCTCAATTTGGAAGATACTCTAACATCTCTCATTTATGAACATGTAAATGCTCTTCATTGCCTCTTACAGACGATTAAACAACAATGAGATTTCCATCCTGGAGGCCACTGGGATATTTAAAAAACTCACTCATCTGAAGAAGATGTGAGTTACCCATTGGTGGGGAGGTTGTAGTCAGGACTCTAGCTGGGGAGGAAGAAGGAAGATACTGGGTGTGGGGGAGCTCCCATGGGGAGGCAGGGCTCCCGTGCAGGGGGGCAGGGGGCAGGGGGCAGGAAAGTGAGGGAGGGTCCTCAGCTCTATAATTCTTCTGCCGCCCCCCCATCCAGCAATCTGAGCAACAACAAGGTGTCGGAAATCGAAGATGGGGCCTTCGAGGGCGCCGCCTCTGTGAGCGAGCTGCACCTGACGGCCAACCAGCTGGAGTCCATCCGGAGCGGCATGTTCCGAGGCCTGGACGGCTTGAGGACCCTGTGAGTGTGCAGGCCGTGCCCGGTGATCAGGCTGCAGGAGCACCCACGTATGTTTAGTTCCAGAGTGGCCCGCAGGGCTGCAGGCAGGAGAGCTGGATGGCCCCCAGGCAGGGATATTGCCGAGGTGACTCAGCTGGTGCAGACTGGGGAGCAGGGACGCCCGTTGTCTCTGGGATTCTAGGATCCCGTGGCCCGGAGCCCAGCCAGAGCTCAGCGGTCATCTGACCTCCGCGGCTGCTGCAGGGAGCCCCCTCTCCCCACCCAGGCAGCGCTAGCTCTTCAGGTGACCACGCGGACCTGGAGAGGGGATAGTAGCAGTGCTGTCCAGTAGGACTTCCTAAAGGACAGAAGTGTCCCACGTCTGCACTGTCTAGTCAGTAGCCACATGTGGCTACGGAGTTCTTGACATGTGGCCAGCGCTACTGAGGCACAAAATTTTGAATTTCATTTCATTTGAATTAATTTGAATCTAAACAGCTACGCATGGCTAACGGCTACCATGTGCGGCAGCACAGCTCCAGATGCCACCTGGCTGGGTTTAAATCCCAGCCCTGCTGTAGGGCTCTCGATCTGTTTTCTGAGCACATATCATGGGATTTGTGTAAAGGAAATGAATATGAAAGGGTTTCCTGTGGGTTTTTGTGTTTTGTTTGTTTTACAAAACGGAGATTGTCTTTGTGCTGTGTTTTGCCAGTTGCGTTTTGCACATGTGGATCTAGTGTGACTGTTTTCCTGGGCTGTTCATGTAGGGCTGCCTCATTCTATATACTTGCCAGGTGGGCTCTTCAGCCAGGCGCTTGGGTTCCCTCTGAGGAAGGCTTGGAGGGGGCCAGAGGAGAGGGACAGGGCAGATGCTGGAGCAGGGCCAGCAAGCACACACGAGTGACAGCACAGGCACGGGAGAAGAAATGCCATAACTCCGCCACCACACACAAATGACCGCTGTTCATTGTTGATATCAGCACTTTCCAGTCTTGTGCATCCACATGCATACTCATGCACATGTGCACCCAGACACACGGATGCTTACATGTAGGTATTTCTGAACAGAATCCTATAATCCATTTTATTTAGTGACCTGCTTTGCCCTTAAATGCAACATGAGCACCTTTACATATCATTAAAATTTCTTCTACAAGGGAGAAGAAATGTGTGGGAAATATCAGAAAGGGACACAGAACATAAAGACTCCTAACTCTGGGAAACGAACTAGGGGTGGTGGAAGGGGAGGAGGGCGGGGGGTGGGGGTGAATGGGTGACGGGCACTGAGGGGGCCACTTGACTGGATGAGCACTGGGTGTTGTTCTGTATGTTGGCAAATTGAACACCAATAAAAAATAAATTTATTATAAAATTTAAAAAATTTTCTTCTACAACATCATTTTGAAGGACTCCGTATTACCTAATCATTGGAAATTTAGTCTATTTTAATTGTTGTGGTAAGTGATGTCGTGGTTAATATCTTTATCATGAAATTCTGTGCCCATCCAGGATTATTCCCTTTTGACAAATTCCTAAAAGAAGCCTGACTGGATGAAAGCCTGAAGCCATTTTAGGGTCTTCCATGCCTCTCACTGCCAGGGAGGCTGCAGGTCACTCTCCTGCTGGCCTAAGTGCCCATTCATACATTATATTTTTAGTTATTTTGCAATTTTTTTAGTTATTTTGCAATTTGTCAGGCAAAGATTCAATATGCTTACATGTCCTTTCTTTTTTTTTTTAACCTGTCCTTATTACTAGTAAGTTTAGACTTTTTTTTTTATCAGTGTTCATAAGCCATTTTAATTTCTTTTGTGAATTGCCTATTCTGTGTCCAGCTTGGTTTTGTTTTAGTTGGGGAGGGGATTTAAGCCAGGGTTTTGAGGGTGAACAGAGACTTTCTCAGATATAAATGAGGAAAGGGGTCATTCTAGAAGGAAACTGTAGCCAGGGAAGGCCTGGTGATGCAGGCCCTTGCAGCATGCCCGCAGACAGAAGAGGCAAGGGTATGTGGCTCTCTAGGGAGGTGGGAAGGTGCTGGTCTGGGGCTCTGTTAGACAGATTCCTGCAGGTCACAGTAAAGTGTGTAAACATTATTCTGCAGGTAGTTTGGGGGCCCCTGGGGCTTCAGGTTGGACAGGAACATGACTGGGTGTAGGTTTTAAGCAAGTGTCTCCAGGGGTTGATATGGAGCATGGCTGGAGTGTGCCGTGGGCACCCAGGGAACAAAGGGGGCACTCTGCAGGCAGGCGGGACAACAGGAGAGTGTCTAGGAGGGGGCTTTCGAGGGTAGCATGAGTGCGGGGAGTCCTGGTGCTGTGGTTCTTAACCTCCGTTCCTTGCCTGGAGAGGAGAATGTGGAGGGGGGAGTCGTGGTGAGCAAAGCCCAGGCAGGTAGATGGCCACAGGGCACAGCACAGCTGCCCCTTCCCGCCCCTCAGGATGCTGAGGAACAACCGTATTAGCTGCATCCACAACGACAGCTTCACAGGCCTGCGCAACGTCCGCCTCCTCTCGCTCTATGACAACCAGATCGCCACCATCTCCCCCGGGGCCTTCGACACCCTGCAGGCCCTGTCCACGCTGTAAGTCCGGGCCTGGGGGGCGAGTGAGTGGGCAGACCTGGGGCTCTGGCACCAGTGTCTGAACCCCGGCGGCACCCTGCCCCCCCAAGGGTAGTTACTCTGACTCACTGGGGTGACTGGTCTCTGGGTTCCCACTGCGTCAGAATGGCACTGCTGGTCATCTGGTAAAGAGTGCTGGGTGGCCGCGTGGCCAGTATGTGGCAGCCTGAAGGGGATTTGCAGGGAAACCGAGGCTGGCAGGGTATGTTGGTGGTTACACAGCCGCCTCTTGCAGAAACCTCCTGGCCAACCCTTTCAACTGCAACTGCCAGCTGGCCTGGCTTGGCGACTGGCTGCGGAGGAGGAAGATCGTGACAGGGAACCCACGGTGCCAGAACCCAGATTTCTTGAGGCAGATCCCCCTGCAGGACGTGGCCTTCCCTGACTTCAGGTGCGAGGAAGGTAAGTCGCGTGGGGCCCTGGGCAGGAGGGGAGGCCCCGGGCCAGGACCGAGACCCACTCTTGGCCTCGTACCTACCCCTGCCTGGCAGCAGCTTTGTGTGACTTGAAGAGCAATAACATGCTTACTGTTTAAAAAGTGGGAAAGTATGGATACAAGAAGGAAATAAATGTTACCTACTACTCTGTCACTTAGAGAAAAGCACAGTTAACTTCTTAGTGTCTGCTCTGTCTGTAGGTATGTGTAATGCAGGGATCTGCCTCCTGGCTGTGCCTCAGTGCTCCGGGCTTATAGGTCAACCCTGTAACACTGTCCGTGAGGGGCAGCGCGGCCTTCCCGGGCCCGCGTGTGGGAAACCTGGTTGCTTCTCATGCCCCTGTCCTGAGTCCTCCAGACCTTCAGTCTCTCTCTGGCTGCCCCCGCTCCTTGCCCTACACGAGTGGGATGCAGCCATCCCTTGATTCACCCACGGAGCTCCCCGCACACCAGGCAATTGTTGGGGGCAGACTCACCCAGTGTGACAGAGCAGGCTGCGGTTCAGCCCGGCCGTCCCTGTTCTTGGGCCCTGCCCCTGCCGTGAGCATCCAGCCCGCCTGGCCCGCCTGCTCCAGCCCGCTTCCAGGCAGCACCTCCGCTCCCAGACTGGCCCATCCAGGCCAGGGTGGTACTGGGTGAGGAGCTTCAACTTTCACACCAAGAAAGATGGCCAGGGTATTTTTCTAAACAAAATCAATGGATTTTTCTAAAGCAATTTTACGTCTTATTTTTTAAAAATTCCATACTACTCACATAAATATTTTTATATAGTTTTATATAATAACTTGCTGGCCTTTAAAAAAATTCTGTTTTTTTAAATATTTAATTAAATTTTAAATTCCAGTATACTTCACATACAGCATTATTTTAGTTCCAGGTGTTTGATACATCACCCAGTGCCCATCACGATAAGTGCCCTCCTTAATCCCCATTGCCTATTTTACCCATCCTCCACCCAAAAATTCTGTTTCTTTTTACACCTGACTGTATATTTGGGGCATTTTCTTATGTTCTTAAGTATCCCTTGAAAACACTATTTTTTTCCCCAAGAAACAGTTTCTTTTTATTTTTCTTATTATAAAGTGAGGCATTATCATTTCTCCAAAAAAACAGCAACAAGAGACAATCCAACAGAGTAAAAAGATCGCGAGTATGTCCCTTGCTCGTGCTCCCCAGCCCTGAATAACTCCTGTTAATATTCCACTGTGTGACCTTCCCGAGCTTTGTGTGTGTTTGTGTGCACACGTGTGACACACATAGGATCTTGTAGTACCGCCTGTGCAGACATTTTTGACACGATAGACATTGTCTGGAGAGTGTCATGATTGACTGAACCAGCCTGGCTGCGTGGTGTTCAGACACTTCCAAAGTTCTGCTATTATGCCCCACGCTGCCAGGAACATCCTGGTAGTCAGCTCTCTTCAACTTTCCCCCTTGCATAGCTTCCTTGAGATGAAAGGATGTGGACACTTTTGAGACATTGTTGCCAGGAGGCAGTGGGACCAGTGGTAGAGAGGGCAGGCTCCGGCGCCAGCTGGCTTGGATTCCAGTCCCGTGCCACCTCTTCCAAGCTGGGGGACCTTGGGCACATCACTTAACCACTCTGCCCTCAGTGTCCCCATCAGTGTGCTGAGAGCACACCTGCCAGAGAGACGTTTTGAGGGCTCAGGAAGTTCAGCCCTATCACACAGTGCCTGCCTACAGCCACTCTCCATAACCGACAGTCATTGTCACCTGCTTCCTAGGGCCCTCAGCAACTCCTACCATGGGATCATTATTGTTCCTCCTACACCTAGTCAGAAGAAAGGAAGGCAGACTAAGACCTCTCAGCACTATTTACTGATTAAATGAATGAATAAATGAAGGAGGTGTGATAGGAGGTCAGATTCTGTGTCAGCTTCATGTGGGTAGAGGCCCTCTGTTGCCTCAGACCAGCCTTCTGAGCTGAGCAAGTTACGTAACCTCTCCAGATCTCAGTAAAGCATAAATTCATTCATTTATTCATTCAACTGATCTATTTTGAGGGCTACTGTGTGCCAGGCTCTGCTCTATGTGCTGGGCTCCTTCTGCAAGCAAAGAAGAAGAAACAAGTCTCTGTTCTTTTGGTGCTTGCATTCTAGGGGTGCCAGTGCCCCCTCTCTTACTGCATTGTTAGAGAGATGATGTTCGATATAGTGTCTGGTACACAGTAGGTGCTCAAGAAATGATATGGTTGCCATCCTCTTCCTGTGCTGTTCCTAGGCCCACCTTGGATATGAGGCAGAAGAGATTGACCTAAGACCCATCTTAACCTCAAAACAGGTCCAAGGGGCTTTGTTCCTGGTGGGGAAGGGGTGAAGCCAGGAGACTTACTGGTGCCTGGGATGGTATCAGAGAGTCTTCTGAGGCACCATGGCTGCGAAAGGCCCTAAGAAGGCCTGCCCCTCACTGATGTGGCTTCATGCCTTCCTCTCCAGGCCAGGAAGAGGGGAGCTGCCTGCCCCGCCCACAGTGCCCCCAGGAATGTGCCTGCCTGGACACCGTGGTCCGATGCAGCAACAAGCACCTCCAGGTCCTGCCCAAGGGCATCCCCAAGAATGTCACAGAACTGTGAGTAGCCTCAGGCCTGGTGTCAGGAGGACACGGTAACTCGAAACAGATAGTAGCTGACTAGGGCTTGGAGTTAGGGCGTTGCAGGAGATGCTGGTTCCAAGAAGGTGTTGAGCTTCTGTTTGACCCCCACTCTGCAGTCATTGGATGGCACGGTCACCCACAGCGAGTGCTTCCTCACTTTAAGCTAATGCCTGCTTTTTTTTTTTTTTTTACGTTTTAAAAAATATTTTATTTATTTGAGAGACAGAATAGAGAGTGAGAGTGAGAGAAGGCATGAGCTGGGGGAGAGGCAGAGGGAGAGGGAGAAGCAGACCCCCTGTTGAGCAGGGAGCCCCATGTGGGGCTAGATCCGAGGCCCTGGGATCATGACCTCAGCAAAAGGCAGATGCTTAACCGACTGAACCACCCAGGCACCCTGCTAATGTCTGCTTTTAAACTGAGAAGTAACGTTATGAATTTCACTTCACATCATCTCATGAGCATCCCCTTCTGTCATGAAAACTCTCACAGAAGTTTATTTTGCTGGCCGCATACTATTCCACCATATGAATCTACTGTGGTCTATATAACAAATCCCTGTTGGTTGTATAGTTGTTTTCCAATTTTTTACTAAATTGTATTATTATTATAAATAGTGCTGAGGTGAAGATCCCTTCAGTGAAGCTGCTGGTCAAAGAGCGGTGCATTGTTAGGACTCTTGCTGCCTTTGGCATGATGACCTTCCAGAAAAGTCATTGCCGGGCAGCCCGGGTGGCTCAGCGGTTTAGCACCTCCTTCAGCCCAGGGCCTGATCCTGGAGTCCTGGGATCAAGTCCCGCGTCGGGCTCCCTGCATGGAGCCTGCTTCTCCCTCCTCCTGTGTCTCTGCCTCTCTCTCTCTCTCTCTCTCTCTCTCTGTGTGTGTCTCTCATGAATGAATAAATAAATCTTAAAAAAAGAAAGAAAAGAAAAGTCATTGCCTTTGCACCCCTACTGGCCAGGTGTGGAAGTGGCCTCCCCCCCACCGTCCCTCCCCATCCAGCCCCAGCAATACTGGACATCATGGTGCTACAATCTTTGTTGATTCGGATGTGGGATCTGAGCTTATGTGGAGGTGTGGATGTCAGTGTGTATGAAAGAGACAGAGAGCTGGGCTTCTTCAGCAGACACCTCCAAATAAGAGGCTGTGGTCAGTCCCTTACTCCTCATATCCCCTGGGATTGAGCCCTCTAGGCCTCCATAGCTGGGGTTTCCTTTCCCTGTGGGGAGTGCATGAGGTTTTTGTTTGTGTGTCTTTCATTACCAGAGGCAGGCTATTTCCTCACAAGTGTATCAGCCACTGCAGTCCTTGTCCTGTGACCTGCCCACCCTTCCCTTACCTAGTTTTTGATGTTTTCTCCTTGGTGCCTCATAGCCACCCTGAACATAATGACAGGTGGGACAGCCTGCTGTCTTTGACTGAGGTTGCTGAAGTTCAGAGGCTGGGAAGATCACTACTCTAAGCCTTCATTTTCCCAGCTGTAAAATGGGGCCACTGGGTGTATTGGTCAGAGCCGTTGAGAGGGTCACGTGAGATGGGTGGGAAGTCACTTTGTATGACACAGTGATGGGTCAGGGTGAGTAATACAGCCCTGATTTTGCTGTTCTCTGGATCTTTGGAGGGTGGGGGCGAGCCATCCTGAGGGCTGTAGTTGGTGGGGGTCCCAGGCAGGGAACCCATCCGGGGCTTCAGCTTCTGATCCTTGGGCCACTGCTTAGCAAGGATGGCATGGGGGTGCGTAGGGGATCTTCACAGCACCTTGAATCCCAAGCACTACCCTGCAGACATGCGGAACCTTAGGGAGCATTAGGAGGATTTCTGGTGGGCTTGGCTTGAGGACAACTTGGGTGGCAGTGTATATAGTGGGTCCCAGAAGAGAGGCCAAGGTGGGGAGACAGATGGAGGCAGCTACAGGAGCCCAGGCCTGGGTGACGGTGTGCATTCGGGGGAGATGTGAGACTGGAACACAGCGAATGAGCAGCAACCAGTAGGCAGGAGAATCAGCGGTGCTGTGGAGAGGGCAGAGTCATCATTAGGGTCCTGCGCCTGGGTGGTTAGGGTGTGAGTGTGGTGCTGATGTAGTCAGGGGAAACCACTTTGGGTGTAAAAGCACCGAGCTCTGTGTTGTTTGGGCCTGTTTGAATCTGGGGCTTCCATGGGGAGACCAGCTTCATGCACCTTGCCAGCAGGTGGAGGGGGGCCCTGCTAGCTGGCATGGGCCTAACAGGTGGGCCTGGGAGGGACTAATGTGCAGATCACACCTGTCTGGCCAGGATAACCTCAAGGCAGAGAGGGGAGGGCGAGGAGCCCAGGACTGAGCCAGGGTCATGCCTGCCAACAGGGAAGAGGCTGAGCGGGTGAGGCAGGGGGCAGGAAGGAAGCCAAGGCAGCCTTTGTGTCTCAGGGCTTCTACCAAGTTCTTAGGCTGGCACCTACCCAAATGCTTACAAGGTTGCATATTTTCTCCTCCGGTTAGTGATTCTGAGCTAATTATGTGGTCTGCGTGGAGAAGAGGAGAGGAGAGGAGAGGAGAGGGGAGGGGAGGGGAGGGGAGGGGAGGGGAGGGGAGGGGAGGGGAGCCGAGCCAGGAAGGCCCAGGCTGTAGGGGAGGCTTCTCCAGCGCTTGCTGCCACCGCCTACGCACTAACTATTGTGTTCTCTCCTGTAGCTACTTGGACGGGAACCAGTTCACACTGGTTCCGGGAGAGCTGTCCACCTTCAAGTACCTGCAGCTTGTGTGAGTATGCAGACCTCTTGAGGACCCCAGGGTGGCACTGGTATCTAACCTTCAGGCTCCAGTTTTCCTGGAATTCCCTACCACTCCACTTCTGGCCTATGGGTTTTTAATTGTGCCCCTTCCCTCCTGGAACTCCTGTGCATAGAGCTGTGTTGCCACCTAGTGGTCATGCTTGGGAATGGCATGTTCCAGGCTCCCTTGGGTTGGACCCTGTCGGCTTCTGAGCACATCACCCCAAGCCTACCTCTGGGCTGACAGTGATCATTAATGAGGGTCATCCAGGCAAAGGAAGGAGCCAGAGCAGAAGTAGAGGCTGTTGGAAAACCTCTCAGTCCAACCTTGGCTCCCAAAGCAAACATGAAATTTGGCAGCTACAAAGACACGTCTGTAACTAAGTTTCTCTTTAGGTTAACATCTTTTTCTGTTATTTCCACCATTGACCCTTTCCACTCCATGAATGTATATAAAATAAGCCTCCAAATAACCTTAGTTCCTCCTAACCCAGCCTAATTAACACCTCACCTCACTTGTCTTGGTCTGTTCGTTGGCCAGTTTCTCCCTAAAAGAAGTCCAGATAACATTCCATCTTAGTTTGGCTTGCAGCGGTGCTCTTCAGGTGTGGTCTGTGGACGAGTGGCCACTAGAGAACTGTTTGTAATGGGTCCTCAATTAGATAAGAAACTTGCACCAGAATGTGAATCAATGTCTTGCTTCTTTCACTGAGAAAGTGTAATTATGAAAATAATGTTAGCTAAACTAAGTTGTGTGTTTAGTGTCATAGGTGATTGCACTTTGGCATAAACTCCTGGTTGTAGGACATCAGTTCAGGGACTGGCTTCTCTGAGTGACACTGGATTACATGATCTTGAAGCTCTGATCCTAAAGACCTAGCAGATGTATTTTGATTGTTCCCATGGTAGGGGGTAGGGAGGGCAGGGATTTGGTGGCCGGTGACAGGGTAGTGAAGACATAGACAGCTGGTCTAATTTGGGGCAGCTGCACTGGTGGCTTGGATACCTTTGGGAGGCAAGGAGGGAGAGAGGACCAACATGGGGCCCGTCCTTGCCCATTACACACCCAATGTGCTGAGTGCTCAGTGAAGAACCTCAGTGTGTCCTAAGAACAGTGGACCAGTCTTGAATGAGATTAGTTAGAGGAATGTTTACAAAGAGAAGATAAAGGCAAGGCATATGGTTTCTTTCTCTTTTTTTTTAAATATTTTATTTATTTATTTCAGAGGGAAGGCAAACATGAGTGGGGGGAGGAGCAGAGGGAGAAGCAGACTCCCTGCTCAGCAGGAAGCCCAACATAGGGCTCAGTCGGATGACCCTGGGATCATGACCTGAGCCGAAGGCAGACACTTGACTGACTGAGCCACCCAGGCGCCCCATATGGTTTCATGTTACGAATATTTCCTGAGTGAAGAGCTGTATGAAGCGAGGGGATATGAGGGCCCCTAAGTCAGGGCCCTCCCCGCAAAGGTGGTGGTCCGAGGGGCATTCGGGAGAGAGACTGGGGCACATACAGTCATGGAAGTGATGAGTGTTCCAACAGGGGTAAATGCACATTAGGGGTGATGAGCCCAGTGTGGGAGGCTGGGGCAGAGGCAGAGCTCCCCAGTGGGCACAGGGAAGGGTTTTAGGCAGTGAAAGGGTTTTAGGAAGAGCAGCAAATCCTCAGCGGGCGTGGAGGAGGCAGTGAAGGAGAAGCGGGCACTTGGAGCACCCCCCTCCCCCAGCAGGTGGCTGGGTTAATATCTTAGGCACTCGGAAACCACTGTGGGATTTGGCAGGAAAGTGACATAGTCAAATTTGTGTCTTAGAAAGATTACAGTGGTGCCCACCCGCGTGGAAGATGGATCGAAGGGGGGCAGCTGTAGGTGAGAGATGAGGTTGAGCCTGAGCCAGAAGCTGGGAGAGAGGCGAGCAGAAAGGGGGGAGGAGGAAGCTGAGAGAGGGGCAAGTCTCTGGGCTGTCAGGGCTGTAGGGGTGGGGGCAGGGAGCACAGGACGTGGACTGGAGTTGGAGCTGGAGTGTCCCTGGAGGGGAGTCACAGGTGCGGGCTGCTGGGCCCACGGGGAGGGCACTGTCACCTGCCATGGGGAGGAGAGCCAGGAGCGTCCCCGAGGCGCCCAGAGTGGACTGAAGCAAGAGGGTCAGTGAGGTGGGGTTGGCTGGAAAAGAAGCTTCGCCAAGGGACTGAGAGGCACAGCCACGGAGGTAGGGGGAGTGTGGGTGCCAATCAGGGACCTGAGGAAGGAAAGACAGAGAGGCAAGAAATTTGAGAAGAGGGGTATCAGTTGTGACCTTGGGTGGGTTACTTCATCTCTCTGAGACCTTGCGCCTTAGTTTGAAAGAAGGTGGCCACCGTCTCCTCGCCTGTTGGGTTGTAGGAGGGCTAGGGAAGGAGCCTGTGGAACGTGCCAGAGGGAGAGGAAGCACAGAGGAGCTGCTGGGTCTGGAAGTCTGGAGGCAGCCCCTCTCCCTGGTGGGAGCATTCCCATTGTGCAAGGCCCTCTGGGGGGAGGGCGGTGCGGAGACAGGCAGCCTGGGGATGCAGGCAGAGCACGGAGAGCAGCGCGGAGGGCCCCTCCCTCCCTGCTGCCCCCCCCCAGCTGCCACCTGAGGGAGGACAGCAGGGGAGGGGAGGAGCCCCTTGCAGAGAGCCCGGGTTGCAGGGGTTGCGTTCTTTCCCTCTCAGCAAGGATGCTTTTGTCTCTTCCAGGGACTTGAGTAACAACAAGATCAGCTCCTTAAGCAATTCCTCCTTCACCAACATGAGCCAGCTGACCACTCTGTGAGTCCCGGGGGTGGGGAGGTGGAGGGAGGGCACGCGCGCTCTGGCCACGGAGACCTCCCCAAGCCCTGTGGGTCACTCGCGGTATCGCCACCAGGGAGTATGCCAGGGCCTGCCAGGGCCTGCCAGTCGAAAAGAAAAAACCTGAATTTTTTATTGTGAACATGCATTCATACAGAAAAATGCAAAAAATATATGTATCATATCATATAACAAATAGTCATGATGCTAGCACATGCGTAAATACCTAGGGCAAAAACCAGAACATAGCACCCCAAAAGTCCCCCATCCCTTCCCGATCATTCCCCCTCTCTCCCATCTCCAGGCAGTGCCTACCCTGACCGCTATGGTGATCAGTTTCTTTGATTTTCTTTATGGTGCTGCCATTTATATATGATGCACTTCTATGCAGTGAAGTTTCATTTTGCCCATTTTTGAACCTTATATAAATTGAATCATACAGGGTATCTTTTTTGTCTCTGGCTTCTTTTATTTACCATTATGTTCCTGAGATGCACTCCTGTGTGGAGCTGTCTAGTATTCCTTTGCAGGACTATGCCATACTTTCCTTATCCAATTTATTGTTGGACCGTTGTAAACAGTGGCCCTCTGAACATTTTTGTGCTTATAGTCTGAGCTATTCTATTTTTTTTTAAGATTTTTATTTATTTATTCACGAGAAACACAGGCAGAGACACAGGCAGAGGGAGAAATAGGCTACCTGCAGGGAACCGGATGCGGGACTCGATCCCAGGACTCGGGATCACAACCTGAGCCGAAGGCAGATGCTCAACCACTGAACTACCCACGTGCCCCCAGTCTGAGCTATTTTAATAATTGCTTTAGTTACATTCCAAGAAGTTGGTTGGAAAGTATAGCAGGCATCCCTTGTACTGGCCTGCGGCTGAAGGCAGGTATCTCACTCACCTTCTCAACACCTCATTTTACAGATGATGTGCCAAGAACTGAAGAACTTCCCCTTAGGCTCTACTGTGGTCAAACAGTAGAGCCAGTACTTCCCAAAAAAATGACTAGGTCGTGACTCAGCCAGACCCCCAGGAGCAGAATATGGGCCTGAGGCCATGAAATGCTCGTTCTAGGTTACACACCTGTGCTTATTTGCTCCAGGGCCTACTCATCAACTGGGTCCCATTTCAAGGTCTTTGTAAGCCTGTGTGTGAAGCTGCCATCAACTCTGGGGGACATTTGACAATGTCTGAAACATTGTTGGTGGTCACGGCTGCAGGAGGGCAGGCACCCCATGGACAGAGGCCAGGGTAGCTGCTAAACGCCTAACAAAGAATTGTCAACAGTGCTGGGGCTGGGAAGTCCTGGTCTCAGTGATTCTGGCAGCTGCAAGGAGAACCAGGGCCCATTCCTGTGACAGGAGCACCCCTTTGCTCTCCTTATTTTAACAACAGCTCTATTGAGGTACAGTGAACATACAGTAAACTTTACGTACTAAAGCATACAATTGGATACATCCTGACTTCCATTCCCATCCACGAAACCATCACCACAGTCAACACAGTGACCACTTCCATCACCCCCAGAAGTCCCCTCCCGGCCTGTGACAACCCTTCTTCCGTGTCCCCTCCCCATACCCCATCCCAGGCTGCCAGATGTGGGCTTTCTATGACTGAGTTAGCATCGCCTAGAGTTCTATGTAAATGGAATCCTACGACACTGCTCTTTTTTATTTGGCTTCTTTCAGCCAGCATAGTGATTTTGAAATCCCGCCATGTCACCGCAAGGGTTGCTAGTTCCTGCGGGTCAGTCAGTAGTGGCGTTCCACTCTATGGCTATTTATCCATCTGTCTGCTGACAGACATTTGGGACTATTATGAGTATCATTTCCTTTATTGTTGACCTGCCTACCTGCCCTTGATGGATTCATTGATTTGTAGGCACTGGGGGAGAGTGGTTTAGCCTGTGGAGCCAGGAAACTGAGAAGCTGAGGACTTAACTATGCCACCATGGGGACCTTCTGTCCCCCTGCAGGGAGGGCCTTGGTCTCCATCTTTACAACGGGGGTGGACACGGTCACAGCGTCTTCCCAACAACACCACAGCTTCCTACTGGTCAATTACTAGGCAGGCCCAGACTTCACCTGTCCAGCCCAGGCGTGAGGCAGGTCCTGGCCAGGTGTCAACTTCACAGGGACCCCACCTCTGGCCCTCACTGGGGCAGCCTCCACAGGAAGTGCACCCGGCCTCCTTGCTGAGGGCTTCACCTGGGCCACCTCCCCTTACCTGCAGAAAAGCCCTGTCAAGTTGTTATTGTTTTTGGCCCTGCCCTGCAGCTGAAGGAGTGCAGCATGAGGCATGAAAGGGTTGGGGGACATGGCTGGGTCCATAGGCTCACTAGTCCAGGGGCTTGGCCCCTACCCTCTTCCATGCTCAGGCTTCCCTCGTTTTGCTGCTGAGCAAAAGGCCCCTGCACCCTGAGCCAGGCAGCAGGGGTCTGGTCCCTAACTTGGTGCCTGCCTCCTCCTCATCCTGGTCTCCCCTCCCTCCTTCCCTTCCCCCCTTCTCCCTTTCCCCCTCCTCCCCTCCCTGCACTTGTCCTCCCTCTCTTCCCACAGGATCCTCAGCTACAATGCCCTCCAGTGTATCCCTCCTCTGGCCTTCCAGGGGCTGCGCTCCCTGCGTCTGCTGTAAGTCTCCCCTGCTCTTCATTCCTCCAGGAAAATGCACACCAAGAAGGGTCCTGCAGCCCACCTGGTGGGCAGAAATGTCTCGGCGTCTGTGACCCCTGCAGGGCCAATAGTGACCAAAGATGGGAGGCTGGTCCATTCTCATTTGAGCCCCTAATGGAGGCTGAAGAATGAATAGGAAACTCTGAGAAATGGGGGTTGCTATCTGCCCCACGTTGTGTTTGGGGAAGCAGTGTGTGGGGGGCGGATGGCATCCAACATAAGGTAGCCCCTTGTTTGCATGTGAGTTTCCGGTTCAGGTGGAGAATGTTTGAAAGGGATTTGTGAACTTCTAAGAAGTCCCACTGGGAGGTTTTTGCCCTGTGATCAAAGCCCTCTGTCACGCCTGTTGCAACGGCCTCTTGGGTATCCATGCGTGGGAATCCTCCAGCAGCCCTGCCTGGGGCGTGGGGACATTCTTTATCCTCATCCTATGGCCTGCCATAGTAACTTTTTTACGGGGAGGGAGCCTCGGCCTCAGGCTCGCTGGCCAAGGGAGGGAGGGCACACATGTTCCATTTGTTGTGTAAACAGGAATGGTGCTTTGAGTTATTTGTGATGGGAAAAACAAGTCCTCCAGAAGGGCTGGGGTACAGGATTGTGTACTTGGAACTTGGATTATAAGGGGCTCCCTCTCCCTTGCCAGTGGTCAGCAGGGCAGGGTCTTTGAACTGGGAGCTGTCTCCCTCTGGCATTGACATACATGACACACTCCTCCATCAATTCTCTGAGGCACCAATGGCCTCTTTTCTCCCCAGGTCCCTGCACGGCAATGACATCTCCACCCTCCGAGAGGGCATCTTCACAGACGTGACCTCCCTGTCTCACCTGTAAGTAACTTTGGCCCACCCTCTTTGGATTTAAACAGAACTTGGATTCTGAGAAAGACCCTCCCCCAACCTGCTGAGACTGGCAAAGTTTGTGGCTTTGGCCCTGAAACAAAATGAGCTTGTGAACTTCCTATACTCCCCATCTCAGATTCTGACACATTCAATGTTTCATCAGTCACAACAATGGGATTTGAAGACAGTTCTTCATAAGCAGCCATAAAAGTAGTAATGACCCTTACTGACTGCATCAGCTGATTTAATCCTCACAGCAATCCTACAGCATAGGCACAATTATTCCATTTTACATATGAGGAAACAGGTCTAGAAAATGTGAGAAGCTTGCCCAAAGTTGCATAGCTGGTAGGGGCTGGAGTCTTCTGTCTCGAAAGCCCATGTTCTTAAGCATGACCCTACTCCTGTACCTCTGACTTTACAGGGTGGGGGATAAACTCTGGAAATTTATTACCCCCAAGAAGTGGTATTATTTGATGTAGAATTGTTTCCAAAACCATTTAGCTGGCAGTACCATGTGGATTTTTTAAAAAGCAGTATGATCAATTCCTTAAAAGGCTAAATGTGGAATGACCCTGTGACCCAGCGATTGCACTCCTGTGTACCCCAAATAATTGAAAGCAGATACTCAAAACAGACACTTGTACACCCTTGTGCATAGCAGCATCATTCACACAGTAGTCAAAAAGCAGAAATAGCTCAAGTTGTTGGACAAAATGTGGTGTCTACATACAATGGGATCTTTTTCAGCTGTAAGAGGGAAGGAAACTCTGGCACCTACCACAAACATGGATGAGCCTTGGAAACGTGCTGAGTGAAATAAATAAGCCAGACATTAAGGGGCAATACTATATGGTTCCGCGGACATGAGGTACAGAATAGTTAACTCCATAGCTACAGGAGAAAGGTGGCTACCAGGTACCGGGAGTGGGAGGAAATGGGGAACTTCTGTTTAGTGGGTACAGAGCTTCTGTTTGGGGTGATGAAGTTTTAGAACCAGAGAGCACTGATAGTTGCACAACATTGTGCTAGTTGATGCCACCGAACTGTACACCTAACGTGGCCAAAATGGCAAATTTTATGTTACGTACATCTTTACCACAATTGAAGAAAAGAAATAAAAAGCAGTGGGCCGGGACAGGACCATCTTACTTCTGGAGGGGGCTGGGGGCAGAACATTTCCCTGCATCCCAACTTTGGGCCCAGGCAACAATTGGGACAGCTGGACTGCAGCTGGGACCCCAGGTGTTCTGGGGCCTTCTTCTCTCTGCCCACACTGAGTGCATAGGGCCCGAGTGGGCAGGCACATTCCAACCCAGGGCCTTCTGGGGCCCCCAGTGGCACCACCTGAGGTTCATCCAATAATCTCACTGGATTTTCTCAGTTGGAAGACTCACCTTTTCTATTTTTTTTTAACAATTTTTTTTTAATTTTTATTTATTTATGATAGTCACAGAGAGAGAGGGGCAGAGACACAGGCAGAGGGAGAAGCAGGCTCCATGCACCGGGAGCCCGATGTGGGATTCGATCCTGGGTCTCCAGGATCGCGCCCTGGGCCAAAGGCAGGCGCCAAACCACTGCGCCACCCAGGGATCCCGACTCACCTTTTCTAAATGTTAGTCTCAGAAATCATAGTGTAGCTTACAAATGATCTATATATTTAATATGGTGATATTTCTCCACGCCTCCCAAAGCACGTTAAATCAGTAGTGCGTTAGCAATCTTATTTATTTTTTTAATAACATGATTTTTTTAAATTTTTTGTTTTTATTTATTTATGATAGGCACATAGTGAGAGAGAGAGAGAGAGAGAGGCAGAGACATAGGCAGAGGGTGAAGCAGGCTCCATGCACCGGGAGCCCGACGTGGGATTCGATCCTGCGTCTCCAGGAACGCGCCCTGGGCCAAAGGCAGGCGCTAAACCGCTGCGCCACCCAGGGATCCCACATTAACAATCTTAGACTTGAGGAAATAAGTAGTAATATGTACTACTTATTGAGGGTGTGTCTGGGACAAATACTTTACAGTCTGTGAATACTTTATCTGTGGTGATTCATTTACTCTGAGACTAAAGTGAGAAGTAGGTATGGTGCTCTCTTCCAGTTCCCCAAATTTGACAGGGACTGCCCTGAACCCACAATGAAGATTCCAGTGCTGGCCTGGACTCAGTGGAGAGTGTGCAATGATTGATTAGTGATGTCTGCCATGGGAGTGAAAGGCAATACTATATGGTTCCGCGGACATGAGGTACAGAATAGTTAACGCCATAGCTACAGCTATGGATTACAGGATTCTTGTCCTAGGGGGTAGGATTTATTTTTCCATTTTTTATTTATTTGCATTTATGTATTGACATTTATTATTTGTATTTATTTACACTTACTATTTACATTTTCCATTCAGGCCCAGGCTCTGAAAAATGAAGCAGCTCCCCTAGGTCCTAAGACCAGGAAATGACAGAGACAGGACTGGAACTTAGGTGTATCTGATTCCAGAGCTATTTATTTATTCTATATTGCCTCAATAAATACATCCTGAATAACCACAGTGAGTCAAGTGGTGAAGAATTTACTACCACTGGGTTTCTGCCTTCTGGGACCATCTGGATATTATAAAGCAAATTAAGGCAGCAGTGACTAACTTTGGGGAAATCTGAGGAGCTTCACAGAGGAGGTGATGTTGATGCTGCCATTGGAAAGGGATTAGCTAGGGGTTTGCCATGGGAGAAGATAGGGAAAGACATTCTAGGAGGAGGGAACAGCATGTGCAAAGGCAAGATGACAAGAAAGTAAACACATTCAGGGATGTTGTCCACCATTAGGCTATAGGGGGTTGGTTGGGTAAGGAGTGTAGGGTGGGAGGAGATGGCTCTGGAAGGGGTATTGGAATTCCATTGTGAGGGGCCCTTTGTGCCATGCTAAAGAGTATAGATTTTATTTGACAGATATAAGGGAATTGTGCAAGAACGAAGTCGTAGAAAACTCCTGGAAAGCCATGGTGACATGTGGAGGCTGGCTGGCATGGGACGAGGCAGGAGGGAGCCTGGGTGGAGATGGTGGCTCTAGACAAAGGCCAGGCAGGGGACGCGTTGCTTATTGCTCTTGACTCTTGTTCAACAGGGCCTTGTTTCCATCTGTGTCTGGTGGTTAGTGGTTCTGAGCTCTTTTTTTTTTTTTTTTTTGGCTGCTGTTTGGAATTCTAAGGACCTAAATGAAATATACTTCTCTCCAGAGAGCATCTGTGCTGTCCCTGTGGGAACCAGGGTCTGTGGCTGCTCTGGGCCCAGGCACCTCCTTTGCTTGCCCCTGACAGGTGTCCGCTCCAGCTCTCCACCCCACCAGGCGGGACCTTTTCAAGCCTCCAGCCCACCTTTCCTGCCTTTGGATTCCCCCTTCATGTATCTCTTATATGTGGGGTTTCAATGCAGGGGGTTTCCTCCTTCCTGATGAAAACTGAATGATACCCAAGCACATTCTGATTTTGTCTCCAGCTCAAAATCTAGAGGCTTTGTTTTTCAAGTGGGAAGTGAACAAACAACGTGTTTTTTAGAAACAAAAAAACAAAGCTGCAAAAACAATTGTTGAACCACACTGATCTATAGATTCAGACTTCTCTTTTTTAGATTCAGACTTTTTTTTAAGAGAACAGTGATGTCAAGCCAAAAGCCAGATCCAGTTTGTAAGAAATAAACCAGTCAATAAAGCTCCTTTAAGCAGTAATTGTAGAACAAGGTCTCAGCATTACCGATCAGATGTGTTTGCTCATTGCATCTAAGCCTGTCTCTGAGACAGCATCTACGTGAAAGAAACCTTCCATTATAATGGAGCAATCCCGTGAATAAACTCTGCCCTTTATACCCAGGGTTTCAAGTGGACCTAGGCAGTAGCCTGGGAATTGTGCACATGCTTAGATTCAAGTGTGTGAGCGTGCTCCCATGTATCCACCATCTTCTCTGCTCATAAGAACTGTAACTGTTCTATAAAGAATTCTTGAGCACCTGAAGGAGTCAAGGAATGATAAAAGGACAGTGTAGACTCACTGCATTCACTCTGGGCTTCACAGAGGTGCAATCTGAAGGGCGGGAGGCACCCATGGCTCTGTAACAAGTCAGAGGTTGCCTAGGAGTTAGCATCCAGTGTCCCTGGCTCCTGGAGTGCCCTTTGCTCCTACTGTGACTCTGGCCTGGGCGTCTCTTCTTTGCTAGTGGTATGCGGGAGGGGGCGGTGGGCAGAGGGTGTGGTGGAGGCTGAGGTCCACCATCCACCATATTTGAATCCCTTGAACTCGAGAAATCAGGATGTGTGGGCTAGGTCCTTATTCTGCCATCAACTTGCAGTGGGATCTCAGACAATTCATTCATTCCTTCGGGCCTTTCTCCTCAGCCATACAAAGGTTATTTCTAAGGTCCACTATGGCCCAAATGCCATTGTGGCCTCCAGTACCCTGCACACTTCTCTACTGCTATTAACTTCATATTTACTTTGCAGTTAGTTCATCGTCCTCCCTTTTGTCTGTCCATCTCTCCATCCATCCATCCATCCATCCATCCATCCATCCATCCATCCATCCATCTCTTCCCCAGAAAATATTTACTGTCTGCCAAATCCTGTGCTAAAGTTCCCCAACATCATTCTTCATTTCTATAATCTGGCATTTTGTTGCCTCTGATTTACTGTGTGCGGGGGTGGGGGCGTGGCTAGATTACGAATTCATTAAGAATTCAGTGTGAAGGGCAGCCCAGGTGGCTCAGTGGTTAAGCACCACCTTCAGCCCAGGCCATGATCCTGGGATCCGGGGATCGATTCCCACGACGGGCTCCCTGCATGGAGCCTGTTTCTCCCTCTGCCTGTGTCTCTGCCTCTCTGTGTGTATGTCTCATGAATAAATAAATAAAATCTTTTTTTAAAAAATCAGTGTGAAAAGTAAATATGGAATGATTAAGTAGATCACGGTATGCCCATAGGACAGAATAGCAAGTGGTTAGAGAATTATAGCACTGTAGTTTACTATTTGATGAAAACATAGGATAAAGAAGACCATGAACTCTGGTTTCACTGATGTGCATGTGTGAACACAAGAACTGGAAGGGAATACAGAAAAATTAGTTACATTTATGGGATGCTGGAGGATTCTTTTCTTTTTGAATTTCCCTTGCTTTCCCACTGAGCTTTGTGCATTCCTCATGCTTTTAGAAACATTCATGGGCTGCCTGGTGGTATCAGGCACAGCAGGGGACCGTAGTTCCTCCTCTCAGGAAGCTTCAGTGCAGTAGAAGGAGACAGTGATGTACACAAATAAATTGCCTGAGAGGAGAATGGGCAGAGGAGGTATAGCTCAGGTGAAGGGGATTTTGAAGTTTTAGTATGTGCTAAACTCTATAGTTGGCAGCTCTGTGAAACAGCCATGGAGAGCTATTTTAGTCCTGGTTACATTAATAGAAGCCCAGCAGGGCCTTGGCATGAACACACAGAGTATCTCCTGTTTCAGCTATTTCCAAGTTACACCAAAGATCAACAACAACACAGGATTATTTATGCTCTTGCTAGGGTGTCAACCTGAATCCACAGCCCTTTTGGAAGGACAAGCAGCCTGGCTGTTGTCTCTACCCCAGTGCCTCAGCTGGGCCTGGGACTCTCCACTCCTCACTGAGCTCACAGTCATTTTCGGTGGGAAAAATGGTCCCCAGGTGAAAGTGAACCCAGAACTACTACAGTAGTCTCAGAAACCCAGTCTTTGGGTAAATGAAAGTGTGAACGGTTAAAATCAGGTGTGGCTCAGAGGCTGCTCTATACAGAAACAAGGAAAACATGTTGGTCAATCCAAAATTTACTTTTGAATAGCGTTGAGTTTGGAAGTTTTTTTTTTTTTTTTTTTTTGACAGTCACAGAGAGAGAGAGAGGCAGAGACACAGGCAGAGGGAGAAGCAGGCTCCATGCACCGGGAGCCCGACGTGGGATTCGATCCCGGGTCTCCAGGATCGCGCCCTGGGCCAAAGGCAGGCGCCAAACCGCTGCGCCACCCAGGGATCCCGAGTTTGGAAGTTTTATATTATTCTTTATTATTATTTTTGTGTAATGTAGAGAGTCAGAAAGGGACACTGAGATTGGAGGTGTACACAGGGTGCCTGACTGGCTTAGTTGCTGGAGATTGTGACTCATGATCTCAGGGTTCTAGGTTTGAGCCCCACTTTGGCTGTAGAGATTACCTAAAAATAATAAAAAATCTTTAAAAAAAAGATTTGAGATGCACTTTTGCCGCCATTTATGGGGGGACTTTCAGAGAATTGGAATTGTGACAGTCCTGATCTGTCAAGGTTTCCACATTCACAATGGCCTCTGTCTGGGGGCATTTTCTCTAAATGAGCTTCGGGACCGAAAGAAATTATTCATAATAAACTTTAAATTCATGGGTCACTCCTGCAGTACACTCCAAAAAAATATTTTAAAATAAATTCTGTATTTATATTTTGAATAACATAATCACATTACCTTGTACTTTTTAGGTTAAAAATATCAAATATCTGGTTAATGTAAACATAGCATAAGTTTTGAATTCCTATTATTTTAAAAAGGTCTTTAAAACACACACACATACACACACACAAACACACACACACTGCAGCTTCAAAAAACTGAAAGCATCTGAGCTTCCTTTACGTCTAAGCAGCCCGGGCGCTGTTCATTGTGGAGAGAGGAAGGTATCTCCCTTGTCCCATTAGTCAGGATGGATGCTGTCAGCAAATCAGGACAGAAGAAATGAAATACACGTCGAGGTTGAACTGGCCCTTTCCACACTGCATTATTCCCTTGGTGCCCATTTTAGGTTATTTGTGCTTGTCTTTCTGCCCCTCTCCAGATCGCAGGCTCTTTATCGAGTTATAAAGTGAGCCCCAGAGATGTGACGCGGCTGCGCAAGGTCAGCGGGCAGGGAGCAGCTGCGCTGGGGCCCGAGGCCAAGTCTTGCTCAGCCGCCTTATAAGACTGTGCAGTCAACAGCTGGGCTATTTGGGGTGATTCCTGCTCAGATTGCTGCTGCTTTCATCAGACCAAACACACCTCAGGGGAGCCACTTCCTCCCTCTTGCCCAGAAACAGGTGGAAAGGGGCAATGCATCCATTTGTTACTTAATAAATGTGCCTGTTCTCATTATCATCACGCAGCCTTTTATTTGCAAAATAGTGTTGATAGAAATGAACTGCAGGCTCCAGGCTCTTGTTTTTCTCTTTGCTGTACCGAGGAGCTCTGGCTCCTTCATCCCCCTGCCCAAAAGGGATCTCGTCCATCTCTCATTCCCCCACTGTAAGTCAGGAGGATGTCAAGTGTGTTGGCTCTGCAGTGGTAGGTGGGGATGCGAGGAAGCAGGCCTGGCCTCATGCTGCCCATGAGCTGATACAACCTTTTTTGGAGGGCAGCTGTAAACATCCTGCATGTTCTTCCTCTGCGACCTGAAGCCTACTTCTAGGCACCTGTAGAGAAATGCTACACTATAAGAGTGTTCACTGCTGTTAGAAACAACCAGAATATCTGGCAACAGGGAAATTGCTCAGTAAGCTACGAGATATCCATTCTTTGGGATGCTATGGAGCACTCTGACCAAATGAGGTGGATCCATTTATGCTGACCTGGAGAGACATGGCACTTAGTGACAAGAAGTTGCTCGGTAATGATCTGCAGTAGGTGGATATAATTTGTGAAGAAGAACCCTAGGTGTAAATTTGGGAGAGGACTGGAAGGCTATAGGTCTGAGTGTGGTGACCATGTGACTACAGGTCCTTCTGTGGTTGGTAGTGACACCGGGTGCAGCTTTTCTTTGTAACATGGACATATTGTAGTTTATTTCTATTACAAACAATGCTGTGATCAATACCACTGCACAGGTGTCTTTACACAACTGTGCAGGTGTATCTGTGAGCTAAACTTCCAGAAACAGAATCACTAGGTCAAAAACCCACTGCATGTGTGATTTGATAGCACAAAACTCCCCTCTGTCAGAATTACAGGAATGGACCTTTTTGAAAAAAATTAAGGTGATATTCCTATAAGATAAAATTAACCGTTTTAATGTGTACAGTTCAGTGTCATTTAGTACGTTCATCATGTTGAGGTGGAGACTTTTGTTTGTAGTATTTAAAAGTGGGTTTACAATGATAATGCATTCATATGCTCCTTAATTTAAAATGAAAAGAAAAATTAAAGAGTATGGGCTTCAGAGTCAGCTCTAGGTCTGGATCCAGGGGCCGTCCTTCACTAGTTGTGCGACCCCAGGGAAATTACTTATTCCACGTGAGGCTCAGTTCCCACTGTTTGAGACGGAGAAGAAAGCTTACACCGTGGGGCTAATGAGAAGATTCGATGCAGGGCCATGGGAAAGCAGCTGGTTCATCCCAGCGGTAAACGGTGGCTCCCCCCACCCCACCCCATGCACTCTGGAGGCAGTGCACTGATAGGTCCACGCTCAACAGCTCCAGTTCAAATCCCACCTCCCCCCTTTCTCTGTGCAATCTTAGGCAAGTGTTCAACCTTCTTGAGCCTGTTTCAAAATGTGCAGTTGGGAGAGTGAGGTGTGTGTTTGTGTGTGTGGGGCGCTAGGAAGATGACACATAGTGGCGCCTGGGTGGTTTACTGTGGTAAGCGTCTGCCTTCAGCTCAAGTCATGATCTCAGGCATCAGGCTCTCTCTGCTCAGTGGGGAGCCTGCTTCTCCCCCTCCTTCTGCCCCTCCCTCTGCTTGTGCTTGCTTGCTCTGTCAAATACATAAAATCTTACGGAAAAAAAAAATCACACACAGGAAGTGCTTAGGGCAGCACCGGCTGCACGGTAAAGCCTTGTGTCATGGGGGCTGTTAGGATTTTTGCCAGCCCCTCGCTGAGTGCCCTGCAACTCAGTGCCTAGTGGGTGAAGGACCCCATTAGGGTGACTGCCTCTCTCTGCTCTCTGATGCAGGGCCATTGGCGCCAACCCTCTGTACTGTGACTGCCATCTCCGCTGGCTGTCCAGCTGGGTGAAGACAGGCTATAAGGAGCCAGGCATTGCCCGCTGTGTGGGGCCCCCAGACATGGAGGGCAAGCTGCTCCTCACCACACCTGCCAAGAAGTTTGAATGCCAAGGTGAGCCCAGGAGCACGAGAGGAGGGCGGTGTGTGGGGAGGGGGTGGTAAGCACAGGGTTGCATTCCCACCACCTGCTGCTGGGGGCCCACAGGACCTGCCTAATCCTGCCAGGGCCTTCCAGGGGCTCCTGTGTCCCTGCGGTGACCGCCTGAGTGGGGGGTCAGGTGGCAGGAGTGAAGCACCTGCTGCTTGTTAGTGCGGCTACCTTCTAGTCCTGACGTACAGCGAACCAGGAAAGCTGGGCAGAACCTCAGGCTGTGAGGGCCTTAATCCCTCCCAGGGGTGACCTAAGGAAAATCAAAACAGCAGCACTTCTGGAAGCTCCCAGGCTCTCAGTGGCGAGTGCTCGGGCCTCCCGCCGGTCGGGATTGTGCGCAGCAATGAGCTTACACCCGAGCCTGGCCCCAGCTGCCCCTCTCCTGACATTGGCGGAACTCCAGGGCTTGAGCGTGATGGAGACTCCTGCATGCTTTGCTCTGAAGCTGCCTCACCGGGGCGTCTGTACATCCTCCTCACCAGAGCTTGACTGACTGACTGGGCCCAGGAGCCCAGCTGAGCCGAGGGAGGTGGCTGAGGGTTGCCCCAGGGCCAGCTGCGTGTGCTGGGGCCCAGGCCCTGCCCTCCGCGGGCTCACGGGCCTCCATGGGAAATGGAAGTGACCGCCACAGGTGACCGGCCACCTTGCCTGAAGGATGCTGTCTCAGGGGTAATGGTTCAGAAGGGCTTGGCTGTGGCTTGGCTGTTGGGAGCAAAACATTGGCTCAGTATTTATTTAAGGGGTAGGGCTGGTGTTGGCAGGTTAAAAGGTTTTCTTGACCCAGAGCATGCATGCCAGCAAGGTACACCGCGGCTCACACCATTCTCAGACCGAACACACCGGGGAGACAGCGCATGGGAAATCCCGGGAAGCCCTCTCATGCTTCCTTCCAGTTGTTACTGCAGAGTGTTTCTTGTAATGCTCACGCCTCTTCTGCAGGACCCATATTTTTCCATTTCTAGAAGGAGTCCTAAGTGGGAACCTGAGTTTACCCGATGGCTTTTGTTCTTGTGAGGTCCTCGTGCACGCAGGTGCCATGCCCCAGGCGGCCTGGCTGCCGGCTCCCTCCTCACCTTCCGGAGGGGCTGCAGGAGGTCTTGCCTGTGGTGACAGGAAGGATCCTCCCCCATCAGCCTTGGAGAGAAACAGCTTGAAAGCAGATGGACTTTTTCCTCACAGAGCCGCGTCCCCTCCTGCTCCTTGTGACAGGGCAGGGCGGGGAGCCAGAGCCGACCTTGGTCACAGCAACCGTGGTGCCCTCACGCTGCCGGCTCGGCCCTGACCACCGCGTCCAGCGCCCACCCGTTAAGGCTTTTCAATTAGCTTATTTAATCCCTAAGGCCTTTGAGGCAGCTGCTGTTACTAAGCTCCTTTTATAGGCCGGGAGGTAGGCTGAGGAAGGAGGCTGGGAAAGTGACCCGGGAGAAATACAGGGAGGGCCTGGATCTTGGGGAGAGGGCTTCCACCCCCACCCCCCAACCCGAGGACTGTCCTGCTCCCTCCCCCGCTTCAGGTCCCCCCACCCTGGCTGTCCAGGCCAAGTGCGATCCCTGCTTATCCAGCCCGTGCCGGAACCAGGGCACCTGCCATAACGACCCCCTGGAGGTGTACAGGTGTGTCTGCTCCAGTGGCTATAAGGTGAGTGGAGGCGGGGGCGGGCTGCTCTTTCCAGGTAAGACGGGTTGGGCTGCAGCGTTCACGCTTGCGCACGGTGCCCAGGGCTGCAGGGTGCCCAGGGCCGGCGCTTGAGGGAATGTTTAATCAATGATGTAGCATGTGAATGAGCGAATGAATGAATGGATGAATGACTGAGCAGGTAACTCTGGGGACCAGGAGGCACACTGCTGAGGGGGCGGGCTGGCTGTTGGCTCACACCAATCCCTGGGTGTCTCTGCTGTCCTGCTCACTCACTTTGTTCCCCAGGGCCGAGACTGCGAAGTATCCCTGGATGGCTGTTCCAGCAGCCCCTGTGGAAATGGAGGGACCTGCCGCCCACAGGAGGGCGGGGACGCCGGGTTCATGTGAGTTGCCTGCAGGGCTGGAACCTGGTGGGTGGGAGTGCAAGCCTGGGTGCCTCCTGCCCCAAGTGGGATGGCCCAGGTCTCCCTGTGCTGGGAAGGGGCAGGCACTCCCTAGAGTGCCCTCCATGCCTACCCAGGCCAGGCCCCTGTTGCCCAGAGAGAAGGCTGGGGCCTGGGGCTGCATTGCTCACTCCTGCTCCAGGCGTCTCCCTGCTCATGCTGGGTGCCAGAGGGCCTTCTGATGGCCTGGCAATTCGTGGCCAAGGGCATATGCAGTGGCAGTGCTAAGGGGTAGTTCAGGGATGGTTTAAACCCCTATAATCTCCACTGTCCCCCAAGGCCTCCAATTGGAAGTCAAACATCCGCTTGCTGTGCCAATGCTGCGTGGAGGCAGGGCCCCTAACCAGTGCCTTGGTATCAAGCAGCCCCTGAGACAGGTGGGGAGACCTTCCCAGAGGTGGGAGTGAGGCCCAGTTGCGCCCCCCCGGGGCCTGCCCTCATGGTCTCATGGGTCATACTGGTCACAGCTGAGCAGCTGTTTCTCCCCTCACCTTGGACTCCATGAAGGGCCAGCCCTCCCGGCTGCTGTCTGACCTCACCATGTAAGCCCCCACCTCCCATTCACCCTTCTTTCCCCCAAGACCCCTCAATGAGCACCCCCCCCACTTTCTCAGAGTTCTCCTGGGCCCAGAGATTTTTCAGAGGAGTATATAGTACTTAGTTGCTGAAAATAAACTGCCAGCCAAACAAATTTACTCTTTGGAAAATGCTGTTGAATCTACTTGGCGGGAATGGCCAAACGTCTCTCTGCAAACCCAAACTGCCAGAGGTAAAAAAACACTAAACAACTGCTTACAGGTCATCACTTTGGAAACAGCATCCTTAAAATAGGCTCTGTCATTGTCTGGATTTTGGAAGCCACTCCATCCAGCCCCCCACTTCCCACAACCACCCTTCCCTGCCCTGCCCCACGCTAGACTCCTGGACAGGGTGGTCTGTGGAGCTTGGGGGGTTGAGAGGACCCCTCAGAAGAGCCTGCTAGGTGGAGGGTGGGTGCAGCTGGGGTAGCCCCTTCCCAGCTGGAGGGTGGACCCCAGAATTGTGTGCTTCATACCTTTTTGCTCACATATCCCCACCAAACAGATGTTTTAAACTACATCCCCTCTCACACATTCTTAGAGTGTTAGCTAGAATTTTTCAGGTCAGTTGAACTTCCCATTGCAAAGGAGACAGTTTCCAGGATATTGTAAATATTAACATTTAAAAATAACTCATTTTCTAGTTCATTTTTATCATTTTCCAGTGGAATCTGAATAGCACAGCAATTTGATATCACTTTAAAAAATCACATCAACAAGCTCCTGTTTAACAGCTGAAACATTTTACCTCCATTTTTCTCCTCGTACTAGTATTTCCATTTTACTCCCCACCCCCACCTCCATTTCTCTTCCTGTGTCTATGTTCTGTGCTGGGGTCCACTATCAAGCCTGCAGCCATACTTCTCTGCCACCAACGTGGGGGTGTAAGTTTGTAGAATTTTTTTCTTGTCACCAAAATTAGAGTTTTCTTTTGCAGAGTTGTCATTACAAATATTAATAATATATATATATATATATATCAGAAATAACTCTACTATAAAATTTTATTGATAATTACCACCCATGAAAGTAAAAGTTTATTAGACTCCTAGAGAGATAGGTGGGGTTTTTTGTGTGTGTTCTTCTAAACACACAGGGTGAATGTGACAGCATTAGAGCAGGCTCAGCATCCAATATATTCCTTTTTAAAAATCTATGTATACAGCTAGAAATGCTGTATATATAGCATTTGTGAAAGAAATTTGAGAAAGTTTGTGCAGATAAGCCATTGGGATTAGAATTTTTATTGCAGCGTGTCACTCAATTATTTGAAACCCTTCCGAGTTTATATGCCAAAAACCCCAGAGTAATCCGTCATCAAAAAGTATTTTTAATACTCTATCGGCTGACAATTCCACTATGTCTCCCTTTAATGATTTATTTTAAAATTTTTTAAAATTCAATTAGCCAACATAAAGTCCATACTTAGTTTCAGATGTAGTGTGCAATGATTTATCAGTTGTGTATAACACCCAGTGCTCATCACATCATGTGTCCTCCTTAATGCTTGTCACTCAATTACCCCAGCCCCCCACCTACCTCCCCTCCATCAGCCCTCAGTTTCCTATAAAGAGTCTCTCATGGTTTTTCTCCTTGGATGACTTCCCATTCAGCTTTCCCTCCCTTACCCTGTGATCTGTGCTGTTTCTTACACTTTCAATGATTTTTGATGCACAGAACTAGAACCTCTTGCAAAAGCATTTGTCCAGTTACTTTGGAAACCTCTATATTCCTAATAGTCCCTTTATTTGGCGCTAGGGTTCTAGGCTCCAGGCACGTCCCACCTTGCACTCAGGTTGGGAGAGGTGTATGCGCCTTTCTAAAGCTCTGGGGTAGGTCTGTTCAGAGTGCTGAACTTGAAGATCTGGCTGGAAATTAATTTTTCAGACCTCTCTGACCCACATATGGCTTGGAAGACCCCAGGTGCTCCCTGGGGGAAGGTGTACACTGGCTGGAAGATCATGGATTCCCAGGACCCTCCACAAGTTGGCTCCTGTTTACCCCCTACCCCCGATGTATGAGCCAAGTGTCCCCTGCCTCTGTCCACCTGGCCTCAGTGTGGCACCATCCTGGTACCTACCAACTTTTCTCTGGTGGCCTCACACCTAGACTGTGAGTCCCCACAGTGCAGGATGGTCTTATTGTGACCCCAGCAGCTAGCAAGGGCCTGGCCTGGCCTAGGGTAAGGGCCAAAGTTCTGGGATGACAATAGTCACCTGCAGACACAGGCTTCCATCAGTGCCTCAGGAAGGCTGCTGCCCTGGCCCTGGGCCCACACACCCTCCCTCCTCCCCTCAGGTGTTCCTGTCCTGCCGGCTTTGAAGGCCCAACCTGTGAGGTGAATACGGATGACTGTGTGGAGCACACATGCGCCAATGGGGGTATCTGTGTGGATGGTGTGGGCAACTACACCTGCCAGTGCCCCCTACAGTACACGGGTAAGTGGGGTGGGGCGGGGGTGCACAGGCCCTGAGCCCCTGTCTTGTGGGCAGAAGGGCTGAGGCCCCCACTCAGCATCTGCAGGGGTTTCTGCTAGCCCAGGTACCTGGCAGAGTCTGGGGGCAGCTTCTCTCCTTCCTCATTCTTTCCCCAGGAAGGGGCTGTGAGCAGCTGGTGGACTTCTGCTCCTCAGATTTGAACCCGTGTCAGCACGAGGCCCAGTGTGTGGGTACTCCAGATGGGCCCAGGTCAGTGTTGCCTGTTTTCAGGGCCAGACAAGGGCATGGGCCTTGAAGTCAGTCCCCTCCCCTCCTATTTCCTTACTTGTCAAAAGTGGGTTTGGTCTTGGCTATACAGGTTCCTGCTAGTCTGGGTGGGGATAGGGCGGTAGTGGGTATAGCTTTGGTCAGCTAGACCTGGGTTTACAGTATGACCCTGAGTGGATGCCTTGACCCTTCTGAGCCTGTCTTCTCATCTGCAAAGTGGGCACCCCATAGCTCCCTCCTGGGGTAGGTGTAAGGGTCAGATGAACAAATGTACTTTGCTCCAAGTCTGACATCTGATAAGTGCTCCATAAAGGGGCTATTATCTTTCCAGATCCACAGTTTCTCCTCCCCAGTTACAAAATGCACAAAACTCTGAAAACCAGAAGCTCATTTGGTAGCAAAACCTGGTTTGACTTGAACGTATTTGGTAATAAAACCTGACCCCCACCGATATGAGGTTATGTATAGTCACTGTTCTTGCCATGTAGTGTGAACGTGTATAGATTTTGCTGCAGAAATGTGAACATGTTTAATTAAGGGGCTGCCCCAGATCTCATTGATGTGTTACATAATGCTTTAGACATTGTTATAAATAGCCTTTCCAAAATCCAAAATCTTCTGAATTTCAAAACCTATCTAGCCCCAGGAGGTTTGGATAAGGGGTCATTGACTATTGTCACCATCATTGTTAGAATATATAGAAGTGCGCTGTCACCTGAAAACTACATGAAGGTCGTGGGTTTTTTAAATGTTTTCATCTGCAGCTTTGTAAACATTTCTAGGACTCTTGTTCCACTGGTCAGGACAGGTGGTCAGGGTTGAGGCCTGAGGCTGAGGGACCCAACCCCAGCCACTCAGGCCAGAGTGGGGAGTGGAGCCTCTCAGGGAGCCCATGGTCCAGCAGGGGCCACCCAAGGACAATGGCAGGAAGCAAGAAACGGGTTACTGAGATCGAGAGGTGCATGGAAGTCTCCATCCAAAAGCTGCACAGCTGCCATGCTTGTGGGTGAGCTGCTGGGGTGGAGTTGGCACAGCCGACCAAGGAGCAGTGGCAGATCAAGAGGTAGCCTGCTGCTCAGAGGGGCTGGACGTCAGGTGGTGGGAGAAAGCAGGACTGCCCCTCATCCCTCACACTGCGCCAGGAAGAGTCCCTGATAGCACCAAAAGTGCGCAGACAGCAGCTGTGTAGCGCCGGTTCTCTCAGCTTCCGCCTCGGAGGGAAGATGTAAGGACTCAGCTGTGCTTGGAACTCAGCAGGTTTTCGGTACATTGGCTGAGTGAGGGAAGGAGTGAGTGTGAATGGGTGGAGTAGGTGGAGGGTCAGCTACTTGCAACATTTTTCAGACTGCAGCTCAAGACTCAGTAGTGGATTATGACCATAGGGTGGGTCGATTAACTCAAAAAACTAAAACAGAGGCGCATAAGCATGGCTTAGTTGGTTAAGTGTCTGGTTCAGGTCATGATCTTGGGGTCCTGAGATCAAGCCCCGGGTTGGGCTCAGTGCACAGTCTACTTGTCCTTCCCCCTCTGCTCCTCCCCTGGCTCGCTCACACTTTCTCCTAAATAAAATAAAATCTTAACCTAAAATAGAAGAACTGTCAGAGCATCATGGCATTTTATGTAGTAAGGAGTATTGTGCCATTAAGCTGGCTTTAGGGTGTGTGTGCCCATAGGTGTATGTATTTTCACTTGGGTAGAAAAGTATTTCTTACAGCTTAAAAAACTGGGAATGAATACAAACATCCAGGCAGGAGCACCTGCCCGCCAGGTTGTGTGGTTGAACTGTGGAGTTTGCAGTTCAGTTTGGAAGAGTTTCCAACAGGGATCACTTGATGATAGCTGGGAGGATGATTCCTGGAGGAGGTGTGGTATTGACCAGAGTGACAGAGGCAGGGAGAGAGAAGAGGATGTTCCAGAATCAGTAGGTGGTGGCAGTTGGGAAGTGCTGGTGAGGTGCAGGTTGCTGCCAGTAGAGACAGGTCCAACCACAGGGTGGGGCCTGATGGTGGGGGCAGGGGGAAGCAGGACAGGGGGCATCTCACAAGGCTGTGACTGAAAAGTAGGTGGAGGAGTATACTCCTTGATAGGCAAATGGTTGATCTCCAGGCAACCAGTGCAGCCCAGTGAGGGCTGGGGGCTGGTCTCATGTCACTTGAGTGGGGGCATGACCTTTGAAGGGGGAGGGCCAGGAGGCCAGTCCAGTGGAGTTGGGAAGGCTGGAGAAAACAGCTAGTTGAGCCCCAGGATTCAGGGCCTTGTGCTGTGGAAAGGCCCTGAGTTTGGCCTCAGATGTGCTGTCAGTGGTCAAGGGAGGTCTTCCATGACAAGATCTGTTCTCATGCTCCCGGCCCAGAACCTGCCCCCACCCAGAGGCCCACTCAAGCTCTCTTCTTGTATCCGGAAAGGGTCCCAGGATGTGCTGGGAGGCAGCTTTTTCTCCTGGGCTCTGTTTGACCTCTTGGGTGTCCCATAGTCACACATCCCCCAGACCATGGGCTTCCGACTGAGTGAGGGACTGACTGCCCCCCATCCCTGCATGCATGCCAGGTGTGAGTGTGCACCAGGTTACGTGGGTGACAACTGCAGTGAGAACCAGGATGACTGCAGGGATCACCGCTGCCAGCATGGGGCCCAGTGTGTGGATGAAGTCAACAGCTACTCCTGCCTCTGTGCTGAGGGCTACAGGTGAGTGGCCCTGGGGGAGCACGAGTGAGCATGAGTGACCGAGGCCTCCTGGCCTGCAGCCCTGGAGCTGGCAGGAGCCCCCAAGCACAGCGGGTGGGAGGGAGTTAGGGTCAGAGCTTGGAAGTTGGATCCTTGGGTTTTGACCATGGCGATGCCAACCCCAGCTGTGTGGCTGTGGGAAAGCTACCTAATCACTCAGGGCATAAGCACAAGGTCCCGTCCCTAAACTGTTTGGTGGAGGGAGTGGGAGGTGGGTACAGATTACTGGCCAGTGCCCACCACATACCTGCCCAGCAGACCTCTGAAGACACATCCTGGCATAAAGGTCACTTATCTTCACAGCCTGACTTCTCTGAAAGGTTTTTGGCCAGGGTTGGGGTTGGGGAAGGAGGGCTGCCTTCCTGGCCACCTACCTCCCATGCTCTGCTTGGGTCTTTTTTTTTTTTAAACACTTTAATTGAGCTATAATTCACATGCCCTGAGATTCACCCAGTTTCAATATAGGATTCAGTGGCTTATAGTCTATTACCAGAATTGTACATCCATTAACCATAATAATTTGAGAACATTTTCATTACTCCAGAAGGAAACTCCATACCTATTATCTGTCACCCTACCCCCTCCCATCTCAGCTCAAGGCAACCAATAATCTAATACTTGTGTCTATAATAGAGTTATCTTGGATATTTCATATAAATGGAGTCATATGATCTTACCATCATGTTTTTGGGGTTCACCCATGTGGCAGCATACATCAGAACTTCATTCTTTTTTGTGGCTGAATATTATTCCATTGTATGGGCCACATCTGTGTATCCATCCACTGAGAGACATTTGAGCTGTTTCCACTCTTGGCTGCTGTGAAGACTGGTGCTATGGGTGTGGCTGTGTCAGAACTCCCTGCTGGTAGTAATGTCCCCTCTTTTATTTCTTTAGTCATTTGAGTCTTCTCTTTCTTGTTTGTGTCTGTTTTCTGTAAAATGGACAATAGTGAGTTTGCTAGCAGACTTACTGCCCCGAGCCTCGAGTGCTTCTCAAACTGTAATGTGCACATGATCTTGGTAAGAAGTAGATTCAGGTTTTCCATTTCTGACAAATGCCCAGGTGACAGCGATGGTGCTGTTCCAGGGACCACATTTGCTTCTCACCTTGTTTTCAGTGTCCTTCTGGCTCATAGTTCTCTTGGGGGAAAAAGTGTTCATTAGGAGCATCTTCTATTGCTTTAAGGATCCGGTTTCCCAAGATGTTCAGCAAATTTCTCTCCAGGACTGTGGGACAGAAAGATGTCCCCTTGCCCCTTCTCTGACCTGTATCTTTTCCCTCTCAGCGGGCAGTTCTGTGAGGCCCCTCCCCGCCCTCCTGCCCCCAGAAGCCCCTGCGAGGGGACCGAGTGCCAGAATGGGGCCAACTGTGTGGACCAGGGTGGTGGGCCTGTGTGCCAGTGCCTCCCAGGCTTCGGCGGCCCCGAGTGTGAGAAGTTGCTCAGTGTCAACTTTGTGGATCGGGACACCTACCTGCAGTTCACTGACCTGCAGAATTGGCCCCGGGCCAACATCACGCTGCAGGTGCGTGCCCAGGGTGCCCAGTCACAGAGGCGAGTGGGGCGCCAGGGGGTGTGGCCTCGGGTCAGAGCACTGAGGGGAGTCCCTGCCCAGGAGGACAGGGAGGAACCTGTGTTAATCAAAACTCTTTGGATGTGGGTCAAGCACATGAAAGGTTATCTGAAACCAGGGTAGGATGAAAAGGGTGGATAGGTGACCGGATCCTCTCCCGCCATCCCAGCTCACCTGCTCCTCAGCTCCAGCCTCCAGTGCTGCACACACACTTCTCTATGGCCTGGGACATGGCCGGAGTTGGCTCTGGGCTTCAGCTCTGGCCTTGTATCTTTAGCCTCCTGGCCCTTATTTTGGGGCCCTTATTTTGCCATTTCATGTCTTGAATTTCATCTCAGAGCATTGGTTTGTTGAGGGCAAAGGCACATCGCACTTGGATGGCAATGTTTACCTGGAGGGATGGGGGTGGTGCACATCACATGGAAAATGATCAAAGTCTGCATCTCCTCTTTGGCTCTCTTCCTCCAACTGCATTCCCTACCCCAGCAGTCACATCTTTCTCCTCCTTCTCTCACAGAGCTCCTCAGCCTCCCAATATGCTTACCATACCCCCCCCACTTCATCTTGCCCATGCACACTGTCTACACTGCAAGAATACAGCTAGCCTAACTGCTCAACAAAGTAACATTCACCCAAACCCTCCTGGCCACTGCCTCAGGCACCTCCTTAAAGAGGTGAGGTCAGCCCCACTGTCCCTGTCACAGGCTCTGCCCTGCCAGCTGGTTGGACAGCAATCACAACTTCAGGGAAGATCTTGGATTGGCCTCCCTTCAGCCACGTGCCCATCCCTGGCCCAGCCACTGAGTCCAGCGAGATGGGGTGCTATGATGCGTCCTCCCTGGGCCATGTGCCAGCCCTAGGAGACCAGGGAGTCAGGTTCTTTACCAGAAGAAACAGAAGAGGGACAAGGAAGGATCATGGTTTCTACAGCATTGTAGAGTGATCTCCCTCCTAAGGTAGCTCCAGCTTTTGCTTGCACAGCTTGAGACAGGCACTACCTCCTGAGTGGCTCTTTTCAGGTTTGGGTGGTCACGGCTGTTAGAGAGCCTTCCTTAACTTGTCCTCTCAGTGGCTCCAGAGGCCCGCAGAACAGGCTACCCCACACCCATTGGACTTTCTGAGCAGGTCGCCCTAAGGTCTCTTACCTGCTCCTCCTAGCAAGTGGTTACCAGAACTGGGCTTGTCCATCTGCCTTCTCTCTGCAGCCCCAGCCAACCTGGCAGTGGATGGCATGTGAACCAGAGGCTACTAGCCTCTGTCAGCATCCCCTGGAGGATATGTCCCCTGGGCAGGCTACATAGCCAGGGGAGGACAGCTCTGCACACAGCATTCCTCTTCCAAATGTGGGTCCCCCACCTACCTGTGCCATCGCTGGGTGGGGTGGAGTGTGGTGGGAGAAAATGTGTCCTTGCCCATCAGGTCTCCACGGCAGAGGACAACGGGATCTTGCTGTACAATGGAGACAATGACCACATGGCAGTGGAGCTGTACCAGGGTCACGTGCGTGTCAGCTATGACCCGGGCAGCTACCCCAGCTCGGCCATCTACAGGTTAGGCTTCCTCATGCCCACCACCCTCGCTCAGGGTCTCCCAGGGCAAAAGCAGGTGATTATTGGGACCACTGGCACCTGGGCTGCCCAAGTGGGAGGAAGGGCATTTCTTTTTTTTTTTTTTTTGGTATATTTTTTTATTGGAGTTCAATTTGCCACCATATAGCATAACACTGAGTGCTCATCCCGTCAAGTGCCCCCCTCAGTCATCCCATCCGCCCACCCACCTCCCCTTCCACTACCCCTTGTTCATAGGAAGGGCATTTCAACCATCTAGTGAGGCCCCAGCTTGGGGCTGAGGCCTGAGCGGTGGGCTCACCCTTCCCTATCCTACCTCCTCCTCACAGTGGGAAGGGAGAGATGGTAAGATGGCAGCCCTTGCCCCAAACTGCTCAGCTTTCCCCAAGGAGTCCCAAGAAGGGAAGCAGGAGGGACCAGGCCCTAGGCCACAGAGTCGACACACCCTCCTTCCTTAGAGATGTTATTTCCTGGGAAGCAGCTGCTGCATCAGTGGCCTTTCTAGGGAAGGGACCAGGCAGAGATGGGCCGAATTGAAGCCCATTCCCTGGGGTGGGGACACCCCATCTTCTTCCAGTGCCGAGACGATCAATGATGGACAGTTCCACACCGTTGAGCTGGTCACCTTTGACCAGATGGTGAATCTCTCCATCGATGGAGGCAGTCCCATGACCATGGACAATTTTGGCAAACACTACACACTAAACAGCGAAGCTCCCCTCTACGTGGGAGGTAAGGACCTGGCCCAGATAAAGGCTGTGGCTGGCTCTCCCCAGGCCTCCCCATCAGGTGACGGAGACAGCCATTTCAGGTGGGGCATCTGTTGCTCTCCAGCCTAAGGCTTGCCAGGAGGGCTAGTGCCCCAGCCACTGGATTGAGGGTGTATTCCAAGCCACAGGTGGATTGTCCTACCCAGCCTGGAGCCCAAGCTGACCAAGAAGGATGCGTACCTGGGTTGTCTGTGGCCTGGTCTTGAGAGGAACCTGGAGCTTTCCCAGCTGTCTTCCAAAGTGGGCACCTTTCTTCTTGGCTTTGGGCCAGAAGGGCCTTGCCAAGTATTCAGGGTCTGTTCCTAGTCTTGGAGCTCTCAGAGGCCCAGAGCCTGCTTGTAAGAGGCCCAGACATGGAGTCCCTGTATCAGCTGGGGACCTCCCAGCTGGCTTTACATGCTTTGCAAGCTAAATGACCTTGTCTACCACCTGCAAACATTTCCAGGTCCAGACAAGTCAGGTTTCTGCAATAGTGGGGCTTTCTCCGTGCCGCAGTGCACCATGGCGAGACTTTGGGCAGGTGTGGAGAGAACTATTGGTTCTAATCTCATATCTGTGGTTTATTAGTCGTACAACTTTGGGCAAGTCGCTGAGCACCAGATGGGGTTTAGCCACCCTGACCTCAGAGGGTTGCTGTGATGACTACAAAAGCAAGTGACAAAGTGGCATACACATTAGTTTTAGGCCTTTTCTGCTTTTGAAGTAAGGAGGTAAGTGCTGGTGTCCCACAGGGCAGGAAGGAGCCTTGGGTGAGGGCAGCCAGACCTTAGGTACCCAGGGCTTCCTTTGTTAGCTGGTGGCTGCTAGGCCTGGCGCCCCTGGGCTGTGGTCATAGAGGGGGCTGCTTTTCTATTTCTTCTGGGAAAGGAATTTGGACCCTCCAAGGTGGCAAAGGACCTTGGCCCAGGGTTGCAGAGACAGAACAGAGGCTGAGGGTGGGAGGAAACACTGTGCAGTTGCCCAGTGGACCTCAGCGGTGAGTGCCAGGCATGGTCTGAGCCTGACCCGGCCCAGCTCTGCCCCATCCTGCCCACCCCAGGGATGCCAGTGGACGTGAACTCAGCCGCCTTCCGCCTGTGGCAGATCCTCAACGGCACCAGCTTCCACGGTTGCATCCGAAACCTATACATCAACAATGAGCTGCAGGACTTCACTAAGACGCGGATGAAGCCAGGCGTGGTGCCAGGCTGTGAGCCCTGCCGAAAGCTCTACTGCCTGCATGGCATCTGCCAGCCCAATGCCACCCCGGGGCCTGTGTGCCATTGTGAGGCCGGCTGGGGGGGCCTACACTGTGACCAGCCAGCTGATGGCCCCTGCCATGGCCACAAGTGAGCATGGACTGGGTTCAAGGAGCCCTCACCCCCTGTCCACCTGTAGGTTCCTTACCTTTCCCTATAAGCTCCTATCCCCAGGCTGCTGCATGGATTGTATTTTTAAATCCCCAAACTAGAACATGTGGCCCACCACAGGGTTTTACTTTTTTTTCTAGTTTTCAGTTTTTATTAACAGGAGGAGGTTCCTAGGGAACAGTGTCACATTTTGCTCCCTTTTGCTCTTGGGAAGAGAGCAGCATCCCATGATGCCAAGGCTGGGATTGTGTAGGATTGGACTAGCTCCAGCCTATTCTCATAGTACCTTTTCTCTGTCCCCTCCAGGTGTGTCCACGGGAAATGTGTGCCCCTCGACGCTCTTTCCTACAGCTGCCAGTGCCAGGATGGGTACTCGGGGGCTTTGTGCAACCAGGCGAGGGCACCTGCAGATCCTTGTGGGGGCCTGCAGTGCCTACATGGCCACTGCCAGGTCTTGGCCACCAAGGGGGCACACTGTGTGTGTGACCCCGGTTTTTCGGGCGAGCTGTGTGAGCAAGGTCAGGGGCCCCCCTCCTGACATGCCCTCTCCACAACCTGCAGTAGTGACTTGACTTTTCCTCCTCCAAGCTTGGCAACCCCTCTGTGCCCCCTCCCCTCTCCTGTACCCTGGACTGCTGTTGGGCTGTGGTACCCCCCCCTACCCTCTGGACTTTGTGCCCCACTTCCATACAAATGGCCCAGCTTGCCCTGAAGCCCCCTTATCTGGGTCAAGTGCTGCCTCCTGGCTGGGTTCTCCCCTTACAGAAGGGACTGCCCAGGGTAACAGCTCCTGCCTGAACCTCCACCTCTTGGCCCCGTTACCTTGGGACGCCGGGAGCAGCAGGAAGTCTGAGGGTTATGGAACTCTTTCCCAGGCCCATGTGACCAAGATGCTTCTGCTGTGCTGGAGACTGCTGAGGCTAGGCAGAGGGAAGCTGAAGTCCAGAACTCAAGCCTTCTGGGTCCCCTAGGCGCCCCCCCCCCCCACGCTCCTGGCACACATTCCTTCTCTATTGTGTTTGCCTTCCCAGCCTCCTCTGCTTGGAGCCCACTTACCTGGCAGCTCCATCTGTCCTGGAGGGTCCCGGCAGCTAGAAAGTTCTTCCTTCATACTCATTGGACCATGGGCCCAGGAGGAAGCCTGTGCATGTGCATGTCTGGTGGGGACGGAGGTGGAGTCTGAGCACTAGAGGCCCTGGTCCTTGGATGCTGCCTCTCCTCCTCCTGCCTTCCCCCTGGGCCAGCGCTGGCCCACGGGTGTGCCCTGAGGCCTTCTCTTGGTGTCTGTCCTATCCAGAGTCCGAGTGCCGGGGGGACCCTGTCCGGGACTTTCACCAGGTCCAGAGGGGCTATGCCATCTGCCAGACCACGCGCCCGCTGTCGTGGGTGGAGTGCCGGGGCTCCTGCCCAGGTCAGGGCTGCTGCCAGGGCCTGCGGCTGAAGCGGAGGAAGTTCACCTTTGAGTGCAGCGACGGGACCTCTTTTGCCGAGGAGGTGGAGAAGCCCACCAAGTGTGGCTGCGCCGTCTGCGCCTAGCGCCTGGCTGGACGGGGAGGGGTGAGGCGGGCAAGGGGGCCTGCAGCCGGGTCGGTGCGGCCGCGTAGCTGCTCCTGGGCGGCGCGGCGTGCGGTGGGAGGGCTGGGCCGACCTCCCGGAGCGCCGGCGCTGGGGGCGGGGCGGGGCCCGGGCTGCAGGCCGCTCTCCCTCCCGAAGTGCCTTGCACAAATAGGCGCTTAATAAATATTTGTTGAATGAATGTGTGCTTGAGGTCAGGCCAAGAAGTGCAGAATGGTGACACCCCCTGCTTGCCCACTACTTGGGTCTGAAGGAGGGACTGGCCCCTTCCCAAACCAGCTTTTCCCTGGCTGCAGAAGCTCCTTATCCCCCTGCAGTTGATCTTGAAGCCTCCCCTGGGGCAGCCAGCCTGACTCTGCTCTGTATGCTGCCGTAGCATCTGCTAGCAGTAGGCCAGGCTGCTGAGGGGACGGCCCCTCCTGCTGGCCAGGAAGGGGCTGACCCTTACCCCCTGGGCTGAACAGCACAGCAGCCACTGCTTGATGGGGAATGAGGCTGGAGAGAGAGGTGAGTCTTAGGACCAGAACTCTGAATCCTGAAGTTATGGGTTGACCATTGTCGCTTCAAGGAAGGGTCTCTCAGGTGGAGGAAATGCCCACTGGGTCTATTTGGGGTGGTGACAAACCAGAGAGGATGGTGTGGGATGGGAGGGGGGAGGTTGGTTCTTGATTCCAGCTGAATAATCACCAAAGGGGCATTTGTCCTTGGCTATCCCAGCCCATACCTGGCCACAAGATACTGGCAAGCCATTGGCAGGGGTACAGGATCAAGGGGGTTTGAACTAGGCTGCTTAGCCAGGGAGGGGTCTCCTCCCAGGGAGACTGGGTTCAGATCCTTTCACGGCATAGACCAGTAGGGAGCAGCCATCCAGGCACCAGGAAACCCCTGCTGCCTCTGTCACTCTGGGCAAACTTCTTCCCCACCGGCCTCCGTCTCCTCATCAGCTATCAAATGTGAAGTGGCTTGACTGAACATACGTATAAGCAATGCAGACCCTCCCACTGTGGCTCCAGAAGGGAGGCTGGAGGAGTTAGAGGATCCATTTTCATTAATCACATCAACAAGTATTTATGTGCCTAACTGGGCTGGGTACTGTGGGTGTTCTGCTCATGTGGACAGACATGAACTAATCGTAGAGCATCACAGGAGTAACCAGGATGCCTGGGAAGAGATGAGCCGAGGGCTCCAACCACAGACACTGGTCCAGACTAGAGCTGCTCACCCTAGGCATTTGCAAGGAAGGACTCTATTTGAAGAGTCATTGAGTATGTGGCCATGTGACTACAAATGCTTCTTTTTCCATGCAGAATGAAAACATGGAAAGCTTATATTTGAGCTTAAGTAGCGAACTGGCTAGACGGTCCTGCCCAGATGTCTCCCCAAAAGTGTGTGCCCCTAGGGGATCCCAGTGGGTAAGAGGAGTGAGCATATCTCTTTCCTGGCCCTTTCTATCTCCAAACAGAAGACAGGGTTGGGGGAGCAGGCTGTGGTGTGACTGAGGTGGTATTGTGCCTGTATCCTCAGCCACTATGGACACTGGGAGGAGGGACCTCTTGATGCTGAGCAGTAGAGGGCTGGAGCCTCTTACAACTGAGGAAGCCTGGCATGTTCCACTACACTGGGACTTGGGCCAGTGAGTTTGAGTCCTGGAACTCCTGTAATGTGAAGGTGATCTTGCCCTGCCCAACTGCAGAGGTGTTTTTATGGCTGGATCTGTTCTTCACCAGGGATTGGGCCCTACTGTAGTTCTGAGCAAGGCCACAGTGCCTGTCCCCTCTATGGACAGCAGCCTGGGCCTTGAGAGGCTTCTCATAGGGCTGCACAGCATCCCTCTCTTACCTATAGTTTGCAGGCCACTGGGGGACCCTGGAGAGCAGCTCTAGCACTAGCTCTAGCACTATTTCTGCTAGGCAGGTGCTGAACTACTGAGGAAAGCTCAAGCACAGCTGGCTCACCTCTTCCATGGAAGAGAGGTATTCTGGGACCACGAGCCATACTCCTTTGGCCATCACCTTTCCCCACTGCCCTGGAATAGAAGTGGCTCCCTGAGCTTGCAGGGCACTGACAGGCAGCAGCAGATTGGGTGATGGCTGCCAGGAGTCCTGTACTCCCAGCGCCATGGGGTTGGGAGGGCAGAGTACGGGGTGTTTGTACACAGGGAGTACCCTCTGAGCTGGCCACTGCCCCCACCGACCCCTCCACAACATCCCACATCCCAGCCTGCCCCATGCTCACCCTTGGTCAAGCCGGAAGATTGGGATTCACCACAAGAGTAAGGGCAGCAAGGGGCTATGTGTCCCAGGATCAACACTGCCTCAAGTTAACCACCAACCTGCAAGCTGCTAAGGAACTGGATCACCACTCATCTTGCCTGTTCACATTTAGGCCCAGGAGAAGGCTCTGGTGAACTCATCTCTGATAAATCATCTCCGTATCTTGTCACCCCTTCAGTAAAGACCTTCCTTAGCTTTGATGTCTCCACTGGCTCTCTCCATCGAACATGCACTGAAGAGACACAAGCAGGGCAAGTCAGGAGGCTGCTGCTGCCACTGCTGGCAACCACGGCCCCGGGCTCCCTGTGAAGGTGTCAGGAAATGGAAAAGGCCAGACTCATCTCCTTTTTGCCTGCTATTAGCCTAACCGTGAAAGTATCTCTTTATACGGAATACTTAACAGATTCTAATATATATTTGTATTTCATTTTGTTATAGTATTTTTATATGTTAAAGTCAATATCCGGTGTCTCATTTTGCTTTTCAGATGTGGTGTGGTTATGACATTTTGTTTAGGGGTTTCTGTAGTCTTGTCTGGATCACTCTTTTAGAGAGACTGGTTTAGAACAGGCCCGTGAGGGAGCCACACCTGCCCTTTCCCTAGAATTGTTCTAGAACGTGTTGGATATTATCTGTTGTTCTCCATGTGAACATGACATTGTTTTGCTCAGGTTCTGCCTTGTGGATCTCTTTTTCTGCACCAAGGATCACTTTTTCAGCACCCATGGCTGCTGACATGCCCCCCCTCCCAGGGTTTGAGGGTTTCTGAGCTGTCCACACTCTGGCCACAATTCAGGGATGGCTCTTAGAGGCAGCACATGTAGAACATCTTCCCTTGGAACGCTCTGATCCTTCTGAAGTGGCAAAGGAGGTGGGTTCCTCCTGGAGAAAGGGGAAGTCTCGGAGGATATAGCTTGGTCATAACTCCCTGGGGATGTCAGGGCAGGGGCAGACCCTCACATGGCATAGCACACATGGAGATCTGGGGAGGCTGCTTAGCTTCATTTCCCTTCAAGTGTCTGCAGCTACACCCAAATTTTGTGTTTGTAGACAGAGCCGCAACCACATTTAACCTGGCTCTGAGGTTTCAGTTCATCAGGGCAACAGACCAGAAAGCAGTGGGGCTTCTCAAACTGTCCTGTAAGGTTAACCTGTCCCCAGTACAGTTGGTTCATAGGGATCAGTGGAGAAAAAAGGCAAATATACTTCTATAGTAGTTCTGCTACAATTTCAGACTGCAAAATTGCTCTTGGGAGTCTTCCAGGATGCATGACCTGAGCATCTATGTGAGATGAGGCCAGGCCCTGGCAGTCAGGCTGGGCAAGGTCCCTACTACCAACGGGACCCAGCTGGCCCTCCTCTGATGCCAGTACTACAGACTGATTTCCCACTAGATCATGATGATGTTTGCCTAGGTCATACCTTAACAGCACATGGTCACCTTGAAAGGGGGGGGCAGTGATGGTAACCGCAATGCCAGCAAAGCAATTAGGGGTTTAGTAGGAAATATAATGAACCAGTACAGGGGAGAAAATGGTTTTAAAATAGGGATTGTGGGGCAGCCCAGGTGGCTTAGCGGTTTAGTGCCGCCTTCAGCCCAGGGCGTGATCCTGGAGGCCTGGGGTCGAGTCTCACGTCGGGCTCCCTGCATGGAGTCTGCTTCTCCCTCTCCCTGTGTCTCTGCCTCTCTCTGTCTCTCATGAATAAATAAAATCTTTAAAAAAATAAATAAAAAATAAAAACAAATAAATAAAATAGGGATGTGGGACACCTGGGTGGTTCAGTGGTTGAGCATCTGCCTTCGGTCCAGGGCATGATCCCAGCCAGGGTCCTGGGATTGAGTCCCGCATCAGGCTTCTGCATGGAGCCTGCTTCTCCCTCTGCCTGTGTCTCTGCCTCTCTCTGTGTCTCTCATGAATAAATAAATAAATAATTTAAAAAATAAGATAAAAAATAAATAAATAAAATAGGGATGTAAGCTCAACTGGCCATTAGGTTACCTAAATAAGTGGGCCCATGCCCTTCTGGCCCATCATTTGTATCACCACTTCTAATAAAGCAGCAGGTAAGAGACCTCTTTCCCTACTGTTAAAGAAAAAAGGGACGAATGGTAGCTGACAGAGACTATGGTGACCTTAAAGGGACATTTTCCAATCTACTGACCCCCAGCTGATTCTTACCATGTTACTCACTTTATCAGATTGTCATCATGTTTTAAAAGAGAAGCCAGAAACCAAATTTTATGTAAATACTTATAATTTTTAAAACACTAAGCTAAATGAAACACATCTGTGAGCCACCAGTTTATAATCTCTGAGTTAAAGAGAAATAAGTGGCAAATTTTACAGGTAAAAGGAAATCCCCAAGAAAGGAAATGGACATAGCAGGGCTTGGCTGGGGAGTAGAAGCAACAGAATGACCAGGCTTCCAACTGGAGTTGCCAAGTTTTCCTGAGATTGATGCTAACACATCTCTATCATCCCACTGCTCTGCACTCTCAGAGTTAGAGATGTCCCCTCACCTCTAGCCAGTCTAGTCTGCACCTCTTAGACATATTTTCATTATTCTACCATAGGATGAATATGGGTGGAAAAGAAATTTAACAATGGAAAGTCCTAATCTGGAACAAGATGATTCTCCAAATATAAATTAAGAGAGGCAGCCCAACTGTCAGCTGCAGGGTTATTTTTACTAGCTATAGTTCCACATGTTGATGGCTGCTGTCATACAACGTATTAATGAAATCACTGGCCCACTGGATGCTTACAGAGACTCTCTCCAGCAGAAGTGAAAGAATACAGTGAAACAGGCCACGAGGCTAGGAAATAAAAGATTTTCCTGTCAACATTCTGCTGTGCCCCAACATGGGCTCTGGAGAGCTGGAGCAGCCTTCCCTGGTGGCTCTGCATACCACTCCCAGAATTCAACAGTGGCTTACCTGATTCAGTTGCTCTCTGCCTCTCAAGATGAAGCACTGGCACCTTTCCAACTCCAAGGTACAAATGCCCAAGGATTCATCCACAGTGTTTTCTTTTCCCTGAAGTTACGCATACCCCACAAAATGGCCACAGATCTATCAAACAAAGTTCCTCTGAGTCCCAGCTCTGTGGCTGAGGCAGAAGGATTAAGAAGTATTGCTTTTTGGTTCCTTCTGGCAACTTCTCAACTTTGCCATAGGCTACAAGTGGAATACTGGGCTTCCATGCATTGTTCCCTCACCAGTAACTACACAAACACACTTTAATATCAAAGAAGTTTAATACGCTGCAATAAAATAAGCGCCTAGAAAAAGCTCATGTAATAGATGTCAATGTTAGAGAAATCCCTCCCACACATCCTCTAGCTCCATACCCCAATCCCTCAAAACCAAACAAGAAAATCTGAAACAACAAAAGAAATCCTTCCAAGCTTGGATTTCAGTGAGGGCCCCTTTACCAATAACAAGAACACAGTTTCCTACATGGCCTAATAGGAAAGTAAAACACAGAAGCACAAAAAGTCCACAGATTTCAATATTTAAGAGACTCGGTACATATTCAAAGTTAAAATAACTCCAACTTTTATAGCTATACATATTGTTTTAAAGCAACTTAATATATTTTTAAATTTCATATATACACTCTCAAAGGTTCTTCAGGTGAGGTATGTAAACATTGTCTAATGAAAATTTTTCAATGTTTCAAACCAACAAATTCACAGCATACATTGAATTTTTCATCCATTAAAGACACAGTATTTTCCTACACTCACTAACATAATGGAAATCCAGGCCCAAGAGATACACGCCAATCATCCAGATTACCATTTGCAGAATTTATCAATTCTCTGCTTTTGGAAAGACCACCTTCGCACAGGTTGGGAGCACACACTTGGTACTGGGAAGGGGCTAGGCCCTCTGGAGACTCTCTCCTTGGGCATCTGGATCACTGGCTAAGACTCACAAGACAGCAAAAAGGAGCACATCTGAACAACTACAAGATTGACCTCGGCAATGACAACACTGGGAGGAACCAAAAAGACCTTAAAGGAACGGTAGAGATTCATCTTAGAGCTCCCTGGATCCACAGCCGGATCAGCAGCCCCTGCCCTAATCTCATTCTGAAGGGTTGTGGCCTAAAAAAGAATAAAAACCCAACACGGCACCTGAGCTTCAGTTAAATTGCATGGGCCTCCTATGCCCCCCTGGCCCCTGAAAGGCATTAACTCTAGCCTAAAGTAGGACCCTGGGCTGTGCTTTTCATACAGGTTGGGGTTGAATTTCTTAGTATCATAATGCATATGGGGAAATAATGCCATGAGTTCACAAAGACAACCAAGGCCTGCACATAGGCACTGGCCAGTGACCTTGGAGGAGCTCAATTTTGAAAACTACTTGTTCCCTGAGGGTAAACAGCAGGCTTCTATTGAGATTAAGTGAGGCTAATAAGGGGATTATTTATTACAAGGTAATAACACTCGGGGAGCCTCAGGCCAGAGTTCTATTTTACTCCCACATAATCTACAATGCCCCCTCCCCGCCCTCCCACCACCACAAGTAGTCACCTTCCCAATGACACAATATAGGTCAGTACTTTTCCCCTTGCTGGCTTTCAGGCTCAGCAATGGAAAGCTTTATCCTAATGCACCCACTTCAATCTAAAAAAACACTAGTGAAAAATTCCAAACACCATCATAAATACAAAAGAGAAGACAAATTCCAAAAGCTAAAAAACTACATTATTCTATTCATGGTTATTTGGGTGTGGGGTATTTTTCATAAAGTTTAGGATGGTCACAGGAGAGGCTGCTCAACAGCTTAGAAAGCTGTGGAACTGGACACGCTAGGAGCCTCGGAAGAGGGACTGCCTGCCTTGCTTGGATCTAAACGTTTTGACCCCAGACATTTCAAACTCAGGCACAGAGGAAGATCACAGGACATGGGCTTAGCTTTCAAAGGCAGAGTAGACAGACTCAAAGGACTTTTAGCAATTTAAATTTCTAATAGAAAAAATTGTTATGTTTACAGCCAAATGAGCTTTGCCTCAACTAGATTCTGGAAGCCCTACAGATTCATGGAAAAAAAATAATCATTTTTCAATCTCCATGCCCAATTTTTGATGTGTCTGGTGCTGGCAGATTTCTCATCCATTACTAGAGTTGTGTGGCATAAAGAAGCGTGCAGACAAACAGAAGCAAAAATTCAAGTACAGCCACCTCTCCAGCAAAGGCAAGAGGTCTTAGCAAGAGCTGTTCTACCCCCACCCTATCCTCTGAGACAAGGGCTAACGCAGAGCCCAGAATAAATGTTATTTCCTAGGATCTTATTGCTTATGGGCAACACATCAGAAAGAACACCTGGAAATCTGCTCTGCAGATCTGGAACTGACCAGTTTATCATATATTATATATATTCATATATATAATATATAACATAACCAGATGAGAAGAGGGGGCAGTTAAAGCTTGGATTGATGTAGCATTACAGATCAAATGCCCCAAACAGCTCTCAACCTAGTTTCTGTTCTTTCTCCATGTGTGAACTGTGTTATGAAAGTAAGTCCACTGCTCAAAATATATCCTTCTACAATACTACAATGCAGACCAACACCACTCAGAACATGAATCTGTATACAGCACACATAATAAATATTCTTAAAAAACTATTTACAACATTACTTCTTGTGAACATTAGATGAGAGCAAAATCTATTTCCTCCTGCAAAGGTTAAAAAAGTGTTGACTGTCTAATTCAGTGCTAAATTCCCTGGCACCTAGTTACCCATTCACATTTCATCTTAAAATCAAATTTGCTTACAAATAGTATCTTAGAAAAAACATTCTCCAGCATTACTGTTCAAGTTTCCTCCTCATTTGTTAGAAAAGACAAAGGGAGGCCATAAGAAAATATGCAAATTATGGTTCAGATGGAGGACAAAACCCCCTGTGTGTCCAGTCCCAAGCCCTCTGCAGCCCTGGAACCGCAGTTCTCAGGCCAGCCAGCTGGGCGGAATGAGAAACATGACTCAGAGGTGCCCGGGAATGTGGCACAGGGGAGATGATCGTGATCATAGAGCCATCAGTTCCATCACATCGAGGGGTGCTCTGAACTGCAGACCAAGACTCCTGAGAAGTAAAGCTGCACACATCTTAGAACAGATGGTCTCATTCTGTAACCATGGGTTACAGGTGGGACTGGCCCACATCTGCACAGATGCTTGCTGAGACAGGGAAAAGGGGGAGGATGAGGAGGAAAGGGGAGAAGAAGAGAGAGCTGAGGCGCTCGTGAGTATTGTCAAGGTGCAGAAGGAAACACGCTTCTCTCTCCCATGGTTAATGACTGTGAACAGGTGCGTGTCTTTCATAAACATGAGAAAGACTAAAATATATCTTAATGCTTACTTTAGGCAACCAGTGGTTTCTCCATATCCCACAGGTTTGGGTTTGGATTTCCTTGGGGTTACAACTAAGGCTCATTTCCCTGCACAGGTTGTTGGATAGCTGGAACGTATTAACTGTGTATGCAAAAGTGGGCTGCTTGAAGCAAGCCCTGATGCCATGCCTGGCACAGCCATACCCGTTATGGGAGGCCCACTTTGTTTTGTGATGGGATGAGAGTGGGGGAAGCACTCAGGTTCCCAAACCACATTGCATATGCCCAGAGTGAGGGTTTC